TATTTTTTGAAGTGCCAATTAGCATTTCATAATAGTTCATTAAATAATATTGATAGTGTATGTAGGGGAATCCATATTTTGGAAAATAAGCTTGAATATGGTTCAGTTTGTACAAAGAAATAATCATGATGCCATCTATTCTGAACTTATATCAGACATAAAGCTATATATGAAATAAGTATATATTATTGAGCGCTTTAATCTAGAAAAACGCGAAGTGAACTCAAATTCTAACACCAACATGTACGCAGTCGGTAAGGCGACTTTTTTTTATAAATACATGTACTTGATTGATATGGAAAAATACATGTATATAAACATTATAACATTATATCAATTGAACACTTCAGTAATCATGTACAGTTGAGTTCACACTAAACTTCCCACCCTTGTGCACTTCTAGTGCACTAGAGCTGAACTAGAAGTGCACACCGTGTGCACTTCTAGTGCACTAGACCATACGACCAGGCTGGCCAGGGAAGGTGACACCTAAATGGTTTATTGGATAATTGCATATCAAGTGACAGGGCATCCATTGTTAAGCTGCTGTAAAAAAAAAAAATTTGGGAATATATGGCCTATTCATGAATATAAATAAGTAAATTTTTAAAAATCAGCAGTTTTAACATTTAAGGTGATATCATGTTAAAGCTTAAAATTATTTTTTTTAATTGATTGTAATCATATTTTTCTTAACCAGTATTTAACTGTAGGTGTAAAATAATACCCCTTAAAATTAAATTTATAGAATTAATAAAGTTAAATTTAAATATGCTCCATAATGGACAATTAAATAAATGTTTTAATGGCCATGTATTTCAATTTTTCTAGTGTACAAATTGGAAAATCAATGCGATAATTCTGGCCCAAATAATTTAGTTTGTAACAACGTAAACTTTTTTTCCATAAGCTCAAATAAATCAAGGAAAAGTTTTATATTTAAGCTTAAGTGTTATTTTATAATATATAACTTAAGACAGTTTCCTTGTGTACAATATTCAAAGAGAATATTAATACATTGATGCTAAAACAATCAATATACTGTGAAAATTTAGTATTCAACTGTGTAATGCTTGCATATGTTTTAAAAGATATAAATAATTAAAATATTATCCATAAAATAAATAAATTTGATAACTTTATTCATGATTTCAATATTAAAAATAATATGTATAAAAGGAATACTTATATTGAAGAGGAAAATCACAAGTCATGCTGTGTATTGGTATTTTCTGAGAGGAACTAACAGTTTTCATTATACCACTCTCCTGCTGATAAGAGGGCCTCAGGGTAAATGACAGTCGAAAGATTAACAGTCGATTTTGCAGATTATAAGTTTGCATTGAAATTCCCTGGTTTTCTCAAAATGCATGTTAGACATAAGCCTTGATTTTAAAACAATCCATACACTGTGATAGTATTTTTTTCAACCTTGAAATGTTTGCATACTTTTTAAAGATATAAACAATTAAAAGTTTTCCATGAAATAATTAAATTGATAACTTTATTCAAGATTTCTGTATTAAAAAAATTTAATGTATAAAGGAATGCTTTTATACAAGAAAAAAGTCTCAAGTCATGCTGTGTATTGGTATTTTTCTGAGAGCGACTGTTTTCATTATACTGGTCTCCTGCGGTCGTCTCCTGCTGACAACAGGGCCTCAGGGTAAATAACAAAAATGCAGATGTATGCAATAGTTATTTAAAATTTCCTGTTTTTTTCTTCCAAAATACATCTAAGACATAGATAAATGACTATAATTTTTGTTATAATAACCATAAGTGTGAAAAATAATCTTAATGGCATAAACGTGTGTTAGATGTTATTGTCATTATTGTCTTTGAAGTGGAATTTTCTAATCTTGTCATAAAAAACTGGTTTAAAATCAATATCAGTGTTAACCATTCTAGAAAGACCTCATATCAATATTTATTGCAATTCTACAAATAATAAATCTGCAGCATCTTTTAGTTTTTGAACTGGAAAATGTTAATTTTTTCTATTATAGATTTGACAAATTTGCCTAAGTGTCAGTTTTAACACATTTATAGAAGATAATATATTTTAAAGAAAATATTTAAATACATGATTATAAAACTTTTGCAACTCCCTTTTCACATTAATGCAGATCTGTTTTTTTTTTTTTTTTTTTTTTTTTTTTTTTAATAAAATATCACACATGGGCAGAAAACAGTTCCAGAAGATTAAAGTGTCAAAAGTCATGCTGTGTATTGGTGTTTTAATATAGTACCCTGCTGATAAGAGAGCCCCTCAGGGTAAATAACAAAAGGCAGATGAATAAATATAATTATTTTTGCATTTTATAATAAACTTTTTTCAGAATAATATATATTTTTTATATAAATCTTAGGTAAATCTCAGTTTCAGAAGGTAAGAGAGATTATAAATGAAATAAAAGTGACAAAATCTAGGCCAATTATAAACATATTAATTCTTTAATGTATTAAAGCTATTTATGCTTGAAATCATTACCTTTAACTTAAGCAACCATAAGTTAAAATCAAAAATAACTTATTGGTATAATTTGCTCCCCCCACCAAAAAAAAAAACAACAAAAAAAGAACAAAACAAAAATGACTGAATTTTGTTTAATTAGCATTTCAATGTTTCATATTTCATTATCAGATTATAATAAAATAGAATCAAATTAAATATCAATTAATTTTGTTTATTTGCGCACTTATCAACATTAAAGTATAATAGGAGGATATTTTTTGTTTGGTCGTATTGGAATTTTTCACGAAATGATAAATGCACTGATTTTCGAGCCCCCGGTACGCGATGTTGAAATATGGTGGCATTTTTATCGATGTTGAGTGAAAATATTATACCCTATTTACGAAACGAAAATAACCTTTTTATTTATTTCATTATCAACGAAAATTGGTAACGTCCTTGCTTTGCTACAACTGCTTGTACAGCGCGCTAGTAATTTATTACGTAACACGCGGGTTTGCGCCTCATTGTGGCGTTGTAAAATCTCTTTTAACGTTGATACAGCGTTATTGTTAAAGTATTGATTTTCGATTTTATTTTCTTTAGTTTAGACCCTTTTCTATGTTGCTAGTAGTTTTTCAAACAATCAGAAAAGTTGCTGTGTGTATTTAGTCAGATTTTTCAAAACCAAAGGCGCCGAAGAAGTCCCCTATAAATATTGGTTTTGACTCCGCACTTTCATATTTATATTTCATATTTATTTTAAATTGAATATATTTGAACTGATATAGACCGATTTTATGTGTAATTAATATTATTTATATGTATATTTTTACATTAGTTTTAGTCTAAGTATTTAATGATTTGAAATTATTGTTCTATATTTTTCGCCTATTTTACAAAATACCAATTTTCAATTCAGTTTTTTGAAAACTATTTAAGTATCTATTTTATCTGTTTTTTTGTAAATCAATTGCTATTCTTTGAATAAAAGGTATGCTTATACATTTTAGGTCTGTGCAACTACAAAGTGCCTTATTGAAGTGCTGTAGTGCACTATGTGCACTTGAAGTGCACTGTGTGCCTCTAGTGCATTTGTGCACTTTGTGTAACCTTTAGTGTGAACTCAACTGTAATAGCGAGCTCGACGAGCTGGCCCGAAGGGCCTGCTCGCAAAGCGAGCTTTACGGTAACGCGAGTACCTGCTAAGTGATGGTTTTGAAAACTTTCGTCCGAAGTACCGAATTGGACACATCGCAACTTTTCGAATTTAAAGATAAAGATAAAAACTGAGGAATTCTGACTGAAAACGGATGTGTAGACTGGTCACCCGCGCATGTCTATGGGAACAATAATTGGACAGGGAACCAGAATAACGGAAGCTGTGTATAAAATATCGAATGACAGTTTTAAAGCGGAAAACAGTTAGTTCTGTCCCACATTTTAAGAAAATTATTTCTGCTAGAATTAAGGATCAGTTTATTCAAGATTGGCAATCTTCTATTCATGAATCCAGTAAATGTCTGAATTATAGAATTTTTAAAACTCAATTTGGTTTTGAAAAATACTTTAACATTTTACCATCGGATTTAGCAATAGCGTTTTTCAAATTTAGATGTATGAACCACAAAATGCCAATTGAAACAGGTAGATTTTTTAATTTGGATAGAAGTCTAAGAGTGTGCTGTTTATGTTCTGATAATTTGTTAGGTGATGAATTTCATTATTTATTTCACTGTTCCTATTTTCAACACCTGAGAAAGACATATTTAGACAATTCATTTTTTCATAGACCTAACATTATTAATTTTTCAAATTTAATGAATAGTGAAAGCAAAAATGTTTTATTCAATCTAGCAATATTCTGTAAGAAAATAATCTTTGTGCTTAATAATACATATTGATATTTTTTTTTTCATTTTGATCTCATTCTCCGATTCTAAATTGTTAAGTATAAATATGTTATATTTTTATTCTATTTTTTATTCTATTTTGTTCTCTTTTTTTATGTACATAATTATGTTTATAACATTGCCATTTCAATTATGTATCACTTTACTTTGTTTTGTCTTAATTTGGTCAAAATTTAAAACTTTGATCTTGTATAAAATAAACTCAATAAGTTCTTACGTAAAATAAACTGTTCACTAGAAAATGTAATAAGATCTGAATGCAAGAAGTATTGTGAAACAGAACTAAAATATCTGAAAAATTTAACTAGTATGGAACGGAGAATTATTTTTAAAAAATTACATCATTTGTTTCTAACATTATATGTGCAAACAGACTTTTTCTTATTCTGTATTTGATTTCGTGCAACAATGTTAAATTTGTTTTATCAGTTTTTAGGTTACTGCAGTAAACTGATAATCAATGCCTTTAATTTTATATGACCATCTACATGATATCAGTTTGTTTTTACACATCGTTACATAAAACATTTCTTACAGTAGTAGTAGTGTTTGATATGAATCACGAGACAGTATGGAAATTTGGTAGCTGTTTTAGGCTTCTGAAGTAACGGTTAGTTAAAAATAAAGTTCTCGATTTTTCTCGCGAGACGGGCACTACAAAAATGTACACAAACTTTCTGGTTGTCAAGATAATCAATTCCAAATGAATGAAATGAAATAGTCGTATCTTTTGACAAATTGTTTAAAGGTATAAGAACTTGATACATTTAACTTAGTGTAAACTTGCCTATTATTATTTATTATATTGAGTAACTGACTTCCAGACAAAATGTAGAAATAGATTTTTCGCTTTTCATGCTTATGGTTTACCCCACCCACCTATCAGTCACTGAATATAAACTCAAAATAATACACACACATGTCTAAACGAGAGAAAAATGTGCAGCTTGACCGGACTCTAACTGCAATCTACCGACAGCTATCAGGCCGCTTTCACATCATCTCCCCAAAATAATGAACAGTTTTGAATCTAGCTTTAGGTCTTCAGCGTACCCGTTTATATACTGTGACATGAAGTGAAAGCTGAAGACAACCCCGTAGGGAAAGTCCACCAATAATCGTGCCTGGAATCTGACACGCTTGTATTCATTCATCGAACATGCCTTAAAGTAAAGTGAAGCATTACATGTACCTTGATAAAACTATTTATAATTTATTGATAAGCCAAGGATGGACAAATAAAATTTTTAGTACAAACATAAACTACCTAAAAGTTTCTAAGGTGAAAAATTCAGCTTTTGGACGCCATATTGCCAAAATGTTTGATCATGTGATTACGAGATTGACCTTTACAAAACAAATTGTGCTTCCAACATTTTTATAAATTACTTTTTTTAAAGATATTGAAAAAGGTGATTTACTGACTTGTATTCAATTTAAGTACTAAAAAAATAATGAAAATAATTAAAAACATTATCTTGCATTATAGATATCGAAATCATGTCAACAAAGATGTTCTAAATATAGTACACGACTCTACTCTAATAGGTTCTGGCGAATGACGTCATACAAGGTCTCGCCGTGCACCTAGCTAAATTATTTCAGTCATGGCATTATCGCAAAATGCACAAGCATTAATTGAGGCAAGGGTATTTGCAAGTGATAAATTAGGTTAAATCAACTTATGTTATTCTGTTTAGGTTTCGTAATGGGTCTTATCCAAAACATAAATGCCGCATCAGATGAAAAACAAAAAAAAAGCGGCTTATAAAGTTTTGGAAAGCAAGAACTATTTTGAATCATGACATATACCCCCACCATATTGAAATTTGTCCCGAATTTCACAGAGTTACAGAGCAATGTGAATTAAACTCTGAGCGCTGTACTGTCATGGCCCCAACGTGGTTGTCAAATGTCACAGGGTGGGAAAAAATGTGCACCCTTTGAGACGTTGAACCCGGGACATTTAGAATACCGTACCACAGCTCTACCGACTGAGTTATACGGATAATTCCACCTTTTCCCCCCAAATAGTGTACAGTTCTGAACCATTACATACAGAATCACCTTGTATATTGAAACACAATCCATCATAATTTATGAGTTCAGAGACCCAGTGTTACTTACACATAATTATGTCTCAATTAATATGTCAATTTGTTGTATTTCAACCTCTAGATGTTTATTTATATCCAAATCACTATTCTAAGCCACAGGAAGTCATAAAGCCAGGTTTTAAAAAGGCGGGTTTTATGTACCAACATTTTCATGTTTGAAATGAACATTACTTTAAGCCACAAGCTCAGGTAACAAAAATTAAAAAAAAATATTATCCATTCTGAATAGCAGACCCTGACTTCAGCTATCGTAAACAGTCTTTCAGGTGCGATTTAGAGAAATGCACTTTTTTTTTAACAGTCAATGGAATATTTAGAAATTACTCATGGTAGTTCTATTTATAAATCTCCCTTTTCTGGTAAACTGCTCGTTAAGATGTGGATAGTTGGCAAATCAAGCCACTAATTAAACTTAAGTCAATTAAAAGAAGACACATACAAAATGTTGTAACATTAGTATGATTCTTGCAGCTTTAGCCATTAGTATAAGTATTACTGTTGGAGTGTAGTTCATTGACTTCATTACTGTAATTAAAAAAACTACTGTGTATAATTATATAATCGGACAAATTAATAGGTGGTTACAGCACTTAAACAAGTCAAACAAAAAGGCAAACCAAACCCTTGGTTTTCTACATTATGATATAAAAGTAATCTCAGAGGCATAATGGAAGGCCATGGTGCATAAAACCCTTGTTTAACCACAACTAAAAGATGCGTCCCCGTCCTCCATTAGTCAAACCCAAATTGATCATGCAGATAGAATCTTCCCAATTTCATAGAAAAGTTCTGAATATTGGGTCAAATTTGACTTTGGACACACATCTGACATTGACCTGATCTTCATTATAATAATTGCAGGCTGACTCTATGGTATACATAGACTCTTTGATGTACAAAATCACCAACGATAAAGGCATTATCCCATCATGACATTTGATCAAACAATGAAACTCCTGATCCTAAGAATTTGATTATAAATCAAGTTCGCATATATTATAAAAAATATAAGTATGTCAGAGAAATTTTAGCCACGATCACCAGTCCATAAAGAACTATCATGTGCCGTAAATATTTTCTTTTAGTAATCAAATTCTTTGTAAAATGCTCAATGTCTATCAAACCATATATATAAAATGATAACTGCATTATTTTGCTTTCTTCCAGAGTCCAGAAGAGAAGATTATAGCAGTGACAGTAAGTACATATCATTTTTGTTAGTATGTATATGGTTTACATTTGTATGGGAGAATTTTCACTAGTCGCTCGTAATTACTAGTAGAATTTAAGAGAATTCTATACAGGACGAGTAGAAAAATGTTGCCTGCACATTTGATTTTAGAAGCTACTTGGCCTGCAGGACAAGTGACTCTGAAAATAATTTACAATGCTTGCTAGTATGGCTTACATTTGTAAGGCAGAGTTTTCACTCTTATTTACTATTCAAAATTGTCCTTGAAGGAAACGTTGTCATTGACAACAGTTTCAAGAACACTGAATATGAGGAGTAGTTTTATTTTCATGTTTACCTCCTGTAATCCACATTCATTATTTTAACTCTCGGAGTGAAATAATATTTAACTACTTAGAAATGATATTGGCTTATAATCAAAATACTGATCTTTTGTACTCCGGTCTATCTATATATGTTTATTATCTGCTGCTCTAGGGTCTCCTTACCTATTCTCTTTTTCAACTGCCATCTGCCAATCATAGACTTTTGATTTGTGTGTCTACTTTTACAAAGTCTTTTTTAAAAAATGTATTATAAAATTATAAAAGAAGAAATTTCTACCTACTAACATACCCTTTTCTTATAATCTTTTTTGAAATGGAGAACATAAACAGAAGAACTTATTCCAGCTTAAGCTTGATTAGTATGAAAGAGTGTTGATTATTTAAACAATTTACTAGAAGGTTGTCTGTCAGAGTTCTTGCCCTTTAAAGATTTTTATCCAGACTACTTCTCATATACCAGTATTAAATGCAATTTGAATGGAATTTCTCCAGATTGATTGGCAGCTCCAGTACTTGTGCATATCATACAGGTTTTTTGGTTGAATGATTTTTATGCTCCCCGAAAAATTTTGGGGGGGAGCATATAGTCGCCGCCTTGTCTGTCCGTCCTTCCGTCCGTCTGTCCGCTTTTCTTGTCTGGGACATAACTTTGAAACAACAAGAGGTATCAACATGAAACTTTGTAGGTAGATAGATCTCATTGAGTATGTGTGCAGTGCACAAGAACAATAACTGTGCCTTGCCTAATTTTTGAATTATTCCCCTTTGTTTATTTTACACTTTAAACTTTGTCAGGGACATAACTCTAAAACTATAAGAGGTATCAACATGAAACTTTGTAGGTAGATAGATCTCATTAAGTAGGTGTGCAGTGCACAAGAACCGTAACTCTGCCTTGCCTATTTTTTGAATTATCCCCCTTTGTTTATTTTACACTTTGTAGGTAGATAGGTCTCATTGGGTAGAAGTGCAGTGCTAAAGAATCATAACTCTGCCTTGCCTTATTTTGAAGTTATTGCCCTTTGCTTACTTTTACTTTTTGACTTTTGTCCGGTACATAACTCTTAAACTATTAGAGATATCAACATGAAACTTTGTAAGTAGATAATTATCATTGGATAGAACTGCAATGCTTAAAGAACCTAAAAAAAGCCTTGTCTAATTTTGGAGTTATTGCTCTTTGTTCATTTTTACACTTTGAATTTTACCCGGGACATAAATCTGAAACTATAAGAGATATCATCAGGAAAGTTCATAGATAGATAGATCTCATTGAATAGAAGTGAGTGCAAAAAAACATTACTCCGCCCTGCCTAATTTTGGAGTTTTGCCCTTTGTTCACTTTTTTTATACTTTCCTGTGTCCAAAACCTTCTCGGGGAGCATCACCTGGTTCAACCAGTTCTTGTTAGCTTAGTTATGGCCCTTGAAAAAAAAGTGTTTTATGATTTTTGTGTTGCCTGCCATACAGTAGCTGATACATGCTTCTTGGTAAAGTTATTGATGATAAGCATAACACATTGATTACTATTATGAATGGTAATGCACCGTGAAGCTATAAAGTAAAAGTTAGTTTGTAATGTACCCAGGGGAAAAAGATAGGAAAACTTCACATTTGCTGAGTTCCTGATAACATCTATTACTGATCATAAACAATGATGGTGCATGGGCATTTTAACAAATCCATTTGGAATACTTACAAACTGTAAGTTGTAAGTATAACTGTCAACGAAACAGCAAAGGTATGTTTTGCATATTCTGATAACAGAGTCAGTGTCCACATTTAAATAAAAAAACATTTTTTAACTTAAAGGGACACTGAGGTTTAAAAGCCTAAAAACATAACATTTGAATTTCTTACATAAATGAGCTGGGCCACTTAAAACGGACAGATATGCATAGATAGTAAAGAAATATACTTTGAAATAAATTAAAAATCGTATGTATACTATATGCTTTTCTTAGCCCGATTTGAGTGAAAAGTGTTTTTTTAGCTCACCTGTCACAAAGTGACAGGGTGAGCTTTTGTGATCGCTTTTCGTCCGGCGTCCGTCCGTCCGTCCGTAAACTTTTGCTTTAAATGACATCTCCTCATAAACCACTGAGCCAATTTCATCCAAACTTCACAGGAATGTTCCTTTGGTGGTCACCTTTAAAAATTGTTCAAAGAATTTAATTCCATGCAGAACTCTGGTTGCCATGGCAACCGAAAGAAAAATCTTTAAATATCTTCTTTTAAACAACCCTAAGAGCTAGCGCTTAGATATTTGGCATGAAACATCTTCTAGTGAGTGTCTACCAAGTGTGTTCAAATAAAAGCCCTGGGGTCAAAATTGGCCCCGCCCCAGGGGGTCATTGATTTTCCCTATATGCATATAGTAAAAACTTAAAAAATCTTCTTTTAAAGAACCCAAAGAGCTAGAGCTAAGATATTTGGCATGAAACATCTTCTAGTGAGTGTCTACCAAGTTTGTTCAAATAAAAGCCCTGGGGTCAAAATTGGTCACGCCCCAGGGGGTCATAGATTTTCCCTATATGCATATAGTAAAAACTTAAAAAATCTTCTTTTAAAGAACATAAAGAGCTAGAGCTAAGATATTTGGCATTAAACATCTTCTAGTGAGTGTCTACCGAGTTTGTTCAAATAAAAGCCCTGGGGTCAAAATTGGCCCCGCCCCAGGGGGTCATTGATTTTTCCTATATGCATATAGTAAAAACTTAAAAAAATCTTCTCTTAAAGAACCCAAAGAGCTAGAGCTAAGATATTTGGCATTAAACATCTTCTAGTGAGTGTCTACCAAGTTTGTTCAAATAAAAGCCCTGGGGTCAAAATTGGCCCTGCCCCAGGGGGTCATTGATTTTCCCTATATGCATATAGTAAAAACTTTAAAAAAAACTTCTTTTAAAGAACCCAAAGAGCTAGAGCTAAGATATTTAGCATGAAGCATGTTCTAATGGGTGTCTACCAAATTTGTTCAAATAAAAGCCCTGGGGTCAAAATTGGCCCCGCCCCGGGGGTCATTGATTTTCCTTATATGTGTATGGCAAAAACTTAAAAATCTTTTTTGAAAAAACCCATATAGCTAGAGTTTAGATATTAAGCATGAAACATCTTCTAATCAGTGTCTACAAAGTTTGTTCAAATAAAAGCCCCGGGGTCAAAATTGGCCCTGCCCCGGGGGTCATAAAATGATTTTCCTTTTTTGTGTATAGCAAAAACTTAAAAATCTTCTTTGAAAAAACCCATATAGCTAGAGTTTAGATATTAAGCATGAAACATCTTTTAGTAAATTTCTACAAAGTTTGTTCAAATAAAAGCCCGGGGGTCAAAACTGGCCCTGCCCCAGGGGTGTCATTGTTTTTAACTATATGTGTATAGTAAAAACTTAAAAAATCTTCTTTTAAAAAACCCAATGAGCTAGAACTTAGATGTTTAGCATGAAACATCTTCTTATGGGTGTCTACCAAGTCTGTTCAAATAAACAAATAAAAGCCCTTGGGTAAAAATTGGCCCGGGGGGGGGGGGGGGCTATATACAGGTGAGCGACCTCAGGGCCATTATGACGTGGCCCTCTTGTTTACAATTTGAATAATTATTCTTGAAAAACAAAGAGCGCAAATGATCGGAAATTTTGCAGAAAGATTAGTGGTCTAAACCTACATCAAATTGTACATTGATCTGGAAAACATATGTTCAGTCCCATCATGTCAAAAATTAAAAAAAACTCAGTGGAGTCCCTTAAAAATTTTGAAAAGAAATACTAGTTAAAGTATTTTTTTTTTAATATGAAGTGTGATTTATAAGATCAATTTTCATTATTGGCCTCTCAACTCATGTAGTGGTAAACTTCGAACTTGAAACATGAGCATGGCCGACTTTAAGTTTTCATACATTATATAAATATACCCATGTTAAGTAGAAAAATTAATCAATTTATCATAATTTATTGCTGACATTAATTATTGATATATAGCAGTATATTGATTGGTTTTTAATTCCAATTAGATTAAAGCACCTTGATAACAGTTCATCACACTATAACCTAAACACCGTAACAATGTGTGGGAAAATATTCTCAGGCTTTTAAAATAACTTTAGCATAATACTTTTACCTTTGATTTTTGGACAAACTAATATTCTGTTTTTTTTGTGTGTTTTTTTATTTATTTTTTTTGTGAATGTTAATATGTGTCTCCAGTCATTTAAATGTCAAAGTCAGATTCTTTGAATTGTGGCTGACTTTATATCAGATATTGTGTCATATTTCCAATAGAACTGTGTGTTTTTATCCAAATTTTTCTAAAGAAAAATTCTTGTTTAGATAGTGGTGCTTATGATTGAAAGCAGATATTTTTTTTCTTCCATAGCAGGGTAAAGGAGGGAAAGGGGGGGGGGCATTTACAGGCTGCTGCATATTCCCCACAAAAACTTCTTTCAATCATGCATGATTCTTTAAATCAAGTTTTTCTTTTCTCGCCCACACCCCTTTATGCAAAAATATTCATGTGTTGTTTGGGAAGGATCTACCTGTGATAAAAAAGTCTGCAAAGGTTGTTATTATAATTAAGCTGTTTACATTTTCTCACTTTCAACCACCTAACATATTTAAATTCCCTACATTAAAATTTGAATATTAATCACTTTTAACCGAGTGAAAATAAAATTCTCAATCCTATGCGTATAGGGTATGTTCCTTAAACAATACCCAGAAAATCATAAATGCATGTTAAATCATATTAAAATGTGTATTAAATTTTCCTGAGTACTTTACTGTACAATTGTATCACTTTATTTGCCACCAGTGTCTTTAAAAGTTGATCAAACATGCAATTTCAAGATCAGGAAGTCACATTTTATGAAGTAGAAAGTTTAATCATCAAATATTATTGTTAAATCAATATAATAGAAGGAAAACAGAACTAAAAGCTTGCTCTGTTGAATTTGTAAAGTAGTTGTTTTTTTTAAAGAAAGTTTAAGGTTTAGTATATTTATGAAATTTGGAAGGTCACAGTTTTCTTCTGGGAAAAAGGTAATTTATGATTTAATTACATGCTATTTTTAGTTTTGAAGTATTAAATTTATCATGTCTTCAACATTGTTAATAGTTGATATTAAGATAAGAAAAAAATAATACTAAAAAAAAATAACAAAAAAATGAAACAATAAAAGTGTTAATTGTGCAGTGGTTACAAACCAAAAACACTGTCAAACAGCAAATAATTATGTAGTTTGAGCACTCTGAAATAATAACCCTGCTTAATTTGTAGTGTAAACAACTTTAACCTGCACTGTAAGGGCTAAAAATGAGGCCACTTCTTCCAGGAAACTCACTAAAAGTATGCAGTGTTCCCTTAAAAATCAATTATACATCAAGTTTTTTGCTTCCCTCTTTTTTCAAAAATAATATTGTGTTAAAATACTTATATTCTTCCAAAAATTAAAGGGTATTGTAGGGTTCCTTAAGTCCAAAACTTGTGAGCAAAATACCTGGTGTACCTTAATTGTCAATACACACAGTCATGTAGGCTTGATAAACAATTCCTATTCAAAGAATGGCATGAAGACAACAAAATTTCACAATTTTCTTCTGTTGTTGTTTTCTAATATATTATATATATTTTTTTTATTTCACATGTTAAAAAAAGAATATTCCATGAGTAGATTTTCATGCATGCTTCTTTTGATAAAAAATTCTGTTAATAAAGGCTTTGTCAAAAATACAAACTGATCTATGGTCCTTTTCATTGTACAAGTTGAGAAGTGGTGAATTATTAATGAGGGCCTAATGTCATTTTAGCAATGGAGTCATACACCGGTAAAATATATTACTATAAAGGTGTCTGTGCATACAAGACTAGACTTTTGTATGTTATGAGGCAGTAGTTATGGACAGAAATTATTTTCTGTTTCCACTTCATAATAATGACAGATTTTTCAGAAAGTCTACGAGAACGAAATTGGTACGGAAATTTATATGAAATTACTGGATTATAAGTTTGTGCTTGGTAATTTTGTGTGTAAAATATGTTTCAAGTTTAGGATTAGCATACTATTAATCAAAAATATTATATGACTGGTTTTATTTTGACAACAATTTATTTCTAATATGGCTAATGCTGTGGAGGATAAGGTTATAAAATCATATATTCTGTAAATTAAGATATAGAGGATATTCAAGTTTTTCTATAAATACATGATTTATTTTCATCGAGTGGTATGAAAATAAATATTTCATGAGTGGCGTTAGCCATGAGTGAAATATGGTAATTTTCATGCCACAAGATGAAAATAAATCATGTATTTATAAAAGATAGTAACTTGAATTTTCTGTTTATTATATACATTTTTCTCCTTTTTGACATTAAAATTTGAAAGACTTTCCCTGAAATTTTGTGTATTGGCAGAATTTAAAAGAAAGTAGTTCGGCAACAAACCAGTGAAAATACGGAAAATATGTTTCACTGCAGTGAAAAATAAATTTTTTACAGTGAAAATACTGCAAATGAAAATACACATTTTATTTCATCAATATTTCTCAATATTTCATTTATAAGTATAAAATAAATAAATTTATGGATAGCTAAAAGGCTTATGATTCTTATATTTAAGTTTTATAGGCTTAAAAAGAAAATTTTTAATGAGTTATGGCGAAAGGATGGTTTGAGATTCTACTTCACATTGTCTTGGATTTTGTTTTGAAACAGGCGGAGACTATATTTTGATAACAATAAAGCCTTGAGAAAACAGGCTTAGAAAATTTAGTATTACACCTTTCCTACTCATATCATATATTATTTGACATACAGGAGGTGAAATTCAGGAGCATGTTTGGAAATACATGTATTGCTAACATTTTGTTTCTTTATATATTTCAGATGCCACATAAAATTCCTTTTAAAGTGATCCATGCTTCAGGTCAGGACGAGAATTTTAGGGCAGCTGAACTTAATCACCATAATCCACTGACCAAAGGATGGCAGTCTGCAAAGTATGTACATATTCTAGTAATAGTAAGTTAGTAATAGAAAGAGTATCAAAACATAATTTAAGTTAATAAATTAGTTGTTAATCGTGGTTCAGATTAACAGAATGTTTTGACTTTTTTCCCATTTTAACAGTATAGTGACAGCTTAGATGTTTCCGTAAGTACACTATAGGACTAAGTCACAGCTCAGTTTTTACCACAAGCCTTGTTATGAGGGAAAATTGAAAAAAGACATGTAGTTTTCCTTAAAGCTTAAAATCTATAAATATCCATGAAAGAATTAAAGAGAGATTATAAAATAAATTTGTTCTCTTTAATTAATAAAAACTTTGGCTGAGTGGTTAAGGCCACAGTGACTTGAACATTTGGTATGTCATTTCTAATGGTTCAAAGCCTTTCATGGACATTAAAAAAAGATTTATTGAAAATTAATGAAGAAGCTGTCAAGCTTGCTTATAGAAAGCTATTGGTACTACTTTCATGACCTTGAATATAATGAACAAATGGTCCCCTTAGGTCTTCTGATCAAGTAAAGTTTTAAAGTTGCCAATTATAATCTAACATTGTTGAACTGTTACTGAAAATCACCCAAGGAATGAGGTAACAAATTTTAAACTAAGCACTAATGGTAAATGTCTGCCACATTGTGTAGGCATGACAGTACACAATTAGAGTTATATACATAATGATGTTACCTAGGTATAATAAATTATTTTGCATTTAAAGTTTTTGCAGCAGCAGTATATGTATTACAATATTTTATTTTTTTTAAAATTTTTTAAGCAAGTTTTTTTTATTAAGGATTTGACCTAACCATTCTTGTGGGTTAAAACCAAGAGATAACCTACTTACCTATTTTTTAGGCTATAAGCCCTTCATAATCAGATGTAAAGCCATTAGCTAATATATTCAAACCATAAGGAGGTCTATCTATCTTAATGTTCCCACTCCTCAGCTCAAAAGTACATTAAAATTCTTATTCTTATTCTAGATTTACTGGTTCACTTTCAGCAAAAGATATAATTAATCTTAAATAGAATAATTATATCAATTTCTATATCAATTTAAAAAAAAATAGAATTTTTCAATATAATTAGGGACATTTTGCATTATAAATGATAATGAATGTTTATTGAATTTCCAATTTGATTTGAAATGCTAAATTTAGTTCCATTAGACGAATGAATTAGACAAGTCATTTACAAATCAATAGTTTGACATCAGCTTGTATATATACCTATATATCTATGTTATGTCCTAACAATACTTTCGAGGCATTTGCCCCATTGAATAGAAAGTAAACAGCCATATTAATAATGAATGCCAGACTCATTATCATATCTACATATCTGATAGATCAAAAGTACACTTATATTTAGAATGATATATTACATTGTTTAGTCAAGCAGTGCATTTAACTAATGGAATAGTACAAGATGGAATTGCATAAAATTATAATTTTTTTCTCTTCACCCAATAAACGTTGTTTTCCTTTAATTTTATGCTTGAGTCATCAAGGCCATTTTGTGACTGTTAATTAGTTATGCTTTTTTAGAGGGCATTTTATAAGAAACTTAAATAAACTCATAGAAAGCATTTTATGAGAGGCTTTTATAATCTCATAGGTTAAAGAGCATTTTATAAGAGGCCTTCATAATGTTATAGATAGGGCACTTTATAAGAGGTTGAAATACACTCATAGAAACCAGCATTTTATGATTGATTTACAAAATCTCAGGAAGATCAGTTTATAAGAGGCAAGCATAATCTCATAGATTGAACATTTTGTTGAGACTTACATATAAGACACTTACATTCAAACACTAAATACCTGTTCACCAAATCATCACAACTAAACACTTTTTTAAGGCATTTATTTCTATGAAAATGTGTCTCCTAACAGATGTGATATTTGTTTTCAGATATTGTTTATATCCACAAGATCTTGTTATACAACTAGAGAAGAGAGCAAGACTCAGGAAAATACAGGTTCTCTCACATCAGTATGACATAGGTATGTATGCAGTATCATTTCCTATTAGCTCTCCTATAATAATTTGCAGCCCCTAACAGGAGAAAAGTTAATTTTTTATTTAGATGTAAGTAAATAGTGCATTTTACAGCCAATTTAGGGCGAATTTGGCCTGATTCCCCTCTCAGAAAAGTAAATATTTTTTCCCTTCCTTCTGTAAAATTTTCCCTCCAAAAATAATTTGTTTTCTTTTTGAAATCCACTTATCATGAGTGATTCAGAGCAAGGCATCGTAGTTAAAAAAGATAATAATGCTATTGCATTCCCCTTGCTTCCCTCCGCCACACATTTTTCCCCTCTCTATGAGCCTTCCCACAATATCCAGTAAGGTAAAACAAGTCACCTGTAAATTCTCATAAAGTACAATAACTCTTACAGCATATAAGCTGTTTAGCTGTCCTGAAACATTTCTTCAGCAGCTTTTACTTACAATATTAGTTAAAACATTCAGATTTTTTACTGGTCCATTTTGGTCATATTCCAAATATCTAAAAGTTTTGTTTCTTTCTTTAAGTTGAAAAGGAAAATTCATAATTCAAGGAACAAAAAATAAAATTTATAAGTAAAATTATTGTCATTAATTGATAACATTTAAATGCACTGTGTCATAAAAAATTGAAACCTTGCATTCTAGATTGTAATATGTGCCGCGTCATGACAAAACCAACATAATGGGTTTCTGACCAGCATAGGTCCAGACCAGCCTGCGCAGCAGCGCATTCTGATCAGGATCTATGCTGTTTGCTATTAGTTTCTCTACTTTTTATAGAGTTTGTAAGCGAACTGCATGGATCCTGATCAGATTGCGCGGATGCGCAGGCTGGTCTTGATTCATGCTGGTCGCAAACGCACTTTGTTGGTTTTGTCATGGAGAGGCTCATATTATGTTTAATATGAGGTACAATATTTTCCATGTTTAAGTTGTTGTATATTGTTGTATATTGTATATTTCAGCTACAAGGATAGAGATATTTGTTGGTGATGTTCCTGAAGATTTACCATGTGTTCTTGACAATGCTAGATATACCAGACTAGGGTAAGGACAATAAAGTCTTCGGCAAGAAAGAAAAAATCTTGTTAATTATTTGGCATATTTGATTTGCAAAGAACATAATGATTAGCAATTTGTTCTTGATTTCTGATGACTATTATGCAATTAAAATACCTTTATTTACCTGAAGAAGTCTTGAATGGTTTGCAGGTTATTTTTTATAATATTGGTATCTAAGGTAGAGGTATTTATAAACCTGATGAGCTCAGTACATGTATCTCTTAGATTTTGGCCGTAAGATTTAATTTGGTTTGAATAAATGACAACGTACTTTAGGGCTTGACAAATCCACTCATTCACTGATTAATCTGTCGGAATAGTAGAAATATTATCATTTAAAATTTAGTAATACACTCATATTGTATTGCTCTGCTCCTATGATTTCTGTTTTCTTTTTTGTCAGCTACGTGTCACTGTCAGACAATGAGAAGACGGGTTTCAAGGCTCGGGAGCTCAAGTCCGTACACGTGGATGCCGTAGGACTGTTTTTAAAGTTGAATATACATAAAAATCATATCAACAAACATAACTTGTATAATCAAGTGGGTGTTGTGGCTATCAATGTGATTGGAGAAGAGATAAGAAAAGGGCAAGAACTTGTGGATGATTTGGTATATAGTTTGTTATAGTTTCAACTTTACATATATTTTAAAGGCACATTATGCTTCAGAAACGAATTATTTTATCATTCTTAAGAAAGGGCATTTATAATGTTTAAATAATGGTTTTTAAAGCATGTTAGAGGCTTATTACCTGAAGAAAGTAACCCTGAATGTGAAATTATTTGTCATAAAATTAGTAAAATGAAAAGTAAGTTGTATTTTGTCTTCTATACAAAATACTAAAACATTGTGACTGTCTTAATCCCCCTAAAGCAAGAGAAGCAAAATATGACTATGGTAATTGGCCAATATGTAACGTTTTTGAAACTATAATCTTTACACAAATATAAAAGCTGTTGACAAATTCAAATGAAAGCATTTCCGAGGCATATAATCTGTGAAATTATTGAATTATTTTCTTTGTTTAGGACATTTATGAACAGAAACAGAAGTTGTTTGGAGATGTGGGTACAGATGGATTGGGCAGGTGAGTTGAAATTATGTTAATCATTTTTAAATCACATTAATTACGTTGCATTAAAGATATATGAAACAAAGTCAAGAATTTTTTAACTTTTATGATGTTAATGGAAGCTAGATGGTTGCAATTTTCAGTCGAAATTTCTTTCATGTCATAAGTTACAACCATTGTTCTATAAAGTTAGTGCAATTGGTTGGTAATACACATGACTGTTTTTATCTTGTAATAAATGCCCCCTCATGGTTCTCTCCAAAACAATTCTAGAATGTTTTAACAGCTTGTAAATTGTGCATAGAAATTAAAAATTTAAAATAAACATTGAAACACGTGAATTTCTACTGCATTTATGTTACTGAATTATTATTAATATTCCAAAGGCTTTGTTCATTATGCTTACATTTGTATTTATTTTCAATCAGTTATCTGAAAACGTTTTATTTATCCTTTACAAGGGTTTTTTTCAACATGTTTGAATAACAGATGTGGTGAATACAGAGAAATACTATAATGTATCATCAGTCATCAAGACATTTCTTTACTGAAAATGGTGTTTGTATTATATTAATGATGGTTTGCTTTAAATTTCAGGCCAGATTATATTTCACCATTAGATGATCTAGCATTTGATATGTACCAGGACCCTGAGATTGGTCAAATCATCAGAAAACTTGATAAGAAAAAACAAGAGGCTGTGTTACGTAAGTTGTCTGAGATTAATCTGTAACAAGTGAACTTGCACGTAAATCTGCATATATCTTAAGTAATAAAATGTGATATTAGCAATTTCTGATGTATATTAATAGTAAAACAAGTGGCTGTGATATGTTCATTCCTAAATGTTCCTTAAAAAGGGGAGGACCATAGATAATGTTGGTGTAACATTTGGTCCAACACTTTTGCATGTACATAATATTTATGCTTAAGATAATGATGTTAGATTGTGTAATTTTATCATGTACAAAATATACCATAAAATATTATAAAATTAAAGATAACAACTAGCCTTTATTAACCTATAAGGTATCTGCTGTATCATAGGTTGGTAATCCATGTATTTGTTAACACCTAGCTCGCTTATAGCAACTTATTCTCTACGCTTGCAGACAGTGCAGACCAAGATCAGGCGGCACATTTGATTGGTCTGATCATGGTCTGCACTGTTAACTATTTCATCACTACCTATTTTGAACATGGCCCTAAAAATTATGATTGGTTTTGTCCAGATTGAAAAATGTGCAAGTCCATTTTAACATATTTAACAATTGGTTAGGGTTAATAGAATGATGTATAAGTTTGTTATTCACTGACCAGATCAAATGATTCTGACTTTGCTGTTAGAAGAAAACATACTTTTACTTTTCCCCAGCATTTTCATTAGCAGGTATCAAAAGGATATAAAATGACTACAATTTTATATTTGTTCCAATTACAGAGGAAAGATATGAATATGCTAAAAAATTGAAAGCTACCATAGTGGAACTTCAAAAGGTATAGTTTATGTTTTAACTTATATATACATATTCTTAGTATGATTTTAAGATACTTATTTTAGCTCCATTTTTTTGAAAGTTTATAGCTCCTCCTATCCACTCGTGAGTTAAACTTATGGAACTAACCAATGCTATTGAAAAAATGTTTTCATGATTGTCATCAATAGTAGTGCCAGAAACTATGATCCTTTGATTGTTGACAACTTGACCACTAAGTCAACAATGTCTCTTTATTTAGGTGAGGAAACAATAATTTTTACATTTTTTTCTGTATTACATTTATATATATTGACAACGTTATGTTTTATTTTGACGCCATAAGGCTGTAGTTAGGATAGGGTAGGGTAGGTGAACATCTTCATTGAATTCTAATTCTTCCCTTAACAATAATTAGGCAGCTGAAGAAATTTACATTTACATATATAAAAAAAATATAGAAACAAGGTTGACAGAATTACAAAAATAAATTTTATATCATGTTATTCTGATTTTATACTGGTAGTGATGCTAGTAATTATGAAACATTGTTATATGAATGGTATAATAATTATACAGGCAGGTGAGAAGCTAGGGAAATATGAGGTAGAGAAAAGACAAGCTGTAGAAAATGAGGACTATGACAAGGCTAAACTGAAGAAAGTTCAGATGGATGAATATAGGCTACAAGTATATACAGATCTCAAAATAAATGATTTACTTGAAGCTACTGGGGTGAGTATTGTTAATTTCATAGGAATATATCTTCTTTACTTCAAGTGGTAATAACTTGTTCTTTTCATGATATCTGATTATTAAACTACAGCAATTGAATTTCTAAATCAATCAATCAATCAATCAATGCTCCCATGTACTTGCTGTGGATTGAAATAATGGTCAGAAATGCATTTAAGGTCCTCAACCAGTTGACAAGTCACGATATCCAAGGCAGAGTGGTTTAGATTGACAATTTCATATCGCTCACTCCTTGATTTAAAGGTCATATGGCGTTTTTGTAACTTCACTATTTTAAGAAAAACCTCAGGTCTTCCTAGTGTATTATTTCAGACACAAAAAGGCATATTAGTAGAACCGTCAATGTTCAGAAAGCTAGCTGGATAGCTTCCTCACATGAAAAAATCCAAAGACTTTGGTGGATCCAAACCCACAGCAGTGAGCGGCAAGTGATTTGAAGTCAAAGACCTTAACTACTTGGACAGGGACACCCCTAATTCTAATTTTTTATTTATAAGTTTAAATACATTATACATCTTGTAAATATGAAAAAAAAGAAAAACAATTATTAATTAGAAATGTTTGAGATTTCTTTTACATTGAAGAATATTACAGTAAACACCCTTTATAACGTTATAGCTTATGCTATTGCAGCAGCCTGACTGTTGTTGTCAAATATATTGTCTCTTGGATACAATGATATTAACTGGACATAACAATATAAATTGGGCAGTTCACTGAATATCATTATAAGCTTGTACTGTACTTTATAACAATATGTTGTAAGTTGCTTTATCACTTTTTTTCAGTCGAGACACCCTAAGAAAATAACACTTGGTAAGTGAATAAAATTGTTGTAGAAATAGTATTCTAGTTTACATTAATGATTATGTTACAATAATTATCTAATTTAGCTTTCATACAATAAGACATCTGTTTGCAATTTATTTCTTTTGGCAAATTGACATATTTTCATAATGTGCTTTTTGTCCAGAGATAGTACTATAATTGTATGTTTAATAACATTTTTATCCTGAAATTTTCATATGATTAATCAGCATTTTATGAAGTTACATGAAGAAATATAAATTACTACCAGTACAGAGTCAAAGAACATATTTTGTCTTACCAACTTGCAATAGTATTACAACCTAACAATCCTGCAATTATTTTATAAATGTTTTTATTTTTCACATATATTCTTCTTTTGCATACTATATGATTATGGACATATTTGTAAAGTTTATATGACAATCAATGCCCTTTTTAAAACAAAATGAAAATACTTTGAAGGTTTATTGCTGTGTCCGAGCAGTGTAACAGCATAATGTGTAAAGAGTTGTGTGAAAAAAAACAATTTGTTAGTTTTTATGACTACTGATTTTTTGGTTGGGAAACTACCCGCCTATATGACTGAAATACGTTAAATACAAAAAGGCGTTAAAAGAATGAAACAAACAAACAATTTTATTTTTATTTTATTTTTTTGCTTCCTCAGAACCTACAAGGGGACCTACCCCACCACGATTACTTGAGCTACCTCAAAGGAGTCCCAGTCCACCACCCAGGACCCCTTACGATGAACGTGTTATTCCAGCAATGAAAAGGTATCTTTCTAAATTAGACAGCAAACAATAGAGTTTAGCATCTTGTCAGAGGGTGTGTTAAGATTGTTCAGATTGTTTCAAAGCATAAATCATGTTTTGTGTTACCATTTGAAATCTTTATTTTAATTCTTGAAAAAAGTAGTTTTTATTTCTTATCTACAGAAGAGTTGAGTTATTATTTAATTTATGCTGTGTTTTGAAAGTTTATACTTTGAGTGTTATGTAATTTAAGTTTTAGTGCATTAGAAAGTCGCTGCATTGCAAATTTTGAGAATATAACTTTATATTATACATATACGAGTATAGTTGGTAACAATAGGCATGAAAGTTTTTGAAGAAGACTTAATGTAACTTATTGATTAAGAAAAACTTAGACAGGGAATCAGCAATTTAGTGAGTTATTGCCTGTTAATGTAATGGCTACTCTCAGATATTTCAACATAAAGTGACATTATGCAAATGAAAGTGTAAATGGCCAATGAACAGGTAAAAATCCAAACTAAACATGTTGCCATAATTGTGTTCAATTTTATATTTTACTACGAAAAAAAATATCAATAATCCATTTGACCAATGGAAGAATTCTATAATTAGAGTTCAGAATGTATCAATAATCTCAATTCTTAAAAAGAGTGAGGTGGTCTTTATATAACTTGGGTCATTTATATAATGTATCATAAACAATTTTTCTCAAGTAGGTTATCCACTATTGTTCAATCACCATTATAATAGTCAATCTTTTCAAATATATTACTAATTCAACTCAACTTGTCAGGGAAAAAATGAGCATAATAATGTCACTTTAACACTTATGAAGCTTAATTTTTATAATGGACTTTCTTTGCTTTGAATTTGGAACAGTCAATTATTATGATAGGGATTTCAACTTAAAAAAAAAAGAAAGGAAAATGTAACAAATAATAGGATAAAGGTATAGTCACACTAGCTCATCTTAATCTATACAGGTGGACAAACCTGCTTATTATGCTGTAATTGCTTAAAGATTTAACCCCTTAACCTGCTGATGATTTACCCTTTTTTAAATTTGGAACAGTCCATTTGAAGTTTTAGGGATTTTCAGTATCAAAATACAAAAATTAAGCTATCAAAAGTATAGAGCCAGACAAGGCCACACTGCATAGAAGTGCAGAATGGTCTGACAATATTGGTAGAGGTGGCTAGTCATTTCCATTTCCAGTGGGATTAGAATTAATTAAAATTTTGTGATTGAAAAAAAAATGGGAATTTGGTGATTGAAAAAGAAATCTTCAAAAACTTTCAAGTATTATAACTGCCTTGGAATGATAGTGCAAAATTTTGTATGATGCAAAAGAATGTAGAATGCTAACATAATGAAAAAAAAAGAGGGAAAGCATGGCCTGTAGAATTAACACAAAGAGCTTCCGATGGAATGATATTTTCAGAGCAGTAATTTGCAGACTTTATATGTACAGTAGATATGTTATATTTATCTTAGGCTACCTTTTTGCCAACATGGCTTTAATATAAGATGTGTAACTGTTAGAGTAAAAAATAGACACTCGTCCATCATTTTAACTTTCTGCTGGAAAAAAATGTACATGTATTTGTAGTTTCAGATTTTTATTTGTTTTAGGGATTTGAAATTTGTTAGAAGTTGTAATATTGTTCTGTTGCTTGACTGTATATTGCTGTTACTCTTATGTTAGCCATAGAGCCCAGTCACCATCAAGTCCAAGAGTTAGAACACCATATGATGAACGACCTTTACCTATACATAAGTGAGTAATCACAGTAATGATTGGTGTGCATGTGTGTTATTGCTATTTATAGCCTGTGATTGGTTGGGCTATTTATAGACTGTCTATAATTGGTTGGGCTATTTATAGCCTGTCTGTGATTGGTTGGGCTATTTATAGACTGTCTGTGATTGGTTGGGCTATTTATAGACAATCTATAATTGGTTGGGCTATTTATAGCTATTTATAGCCTGGATGTGATTGGCTAATTGATATAATACATTGTGTAATGAAGAACTGAGAGTCACTGTGTTTGATGTTTTTTCTCTCTCACAAATATTAACCATGAAATGTAACAAATCACCTGTATACTAACAATATCTGGAAAGGGCTGTCAGTGAAACTACAATGTTAGTGTTGAAGCAAACTTTCCTATTGACTTATCTATGTAACAGTTATAACAGCAATTATAGCACAAAAGTAATAATAAATACTAAGTCTGAGATTAATCAAAACAGAAAAATCTTAATAATTATTTGAAATATCTAGAAATATAAGTTAATATTAATGATGATAATAAATAAGAAAAACATTCATATATTTTATATATGATTCAAAAAATGCAGAAACCATTTCACAGAATTATTATTTTTTAAATTTTGTATTGATATTTTAAGGAGAAGTTCTGTTATTATATTGTTTATTCATTAAATTCATTCAGTTACAACTTAAATACTATAAAAACTTGAAATGTTTGATTAAAAAAAGTTACCTCTATGACAGCCCTGCTTTTTTTCTACTTACATTATCACATGTATTTTGTATATCTTGGAGATTCAGTGCTGTTCTGAACCAATTTTTCCGAGGAATTTCAATTTTCCGAGGAATTCCATTTTCCAAGGAATTTCCATTTTCTGAGGAATTTCCATTTTTCTCACTGTTAATCACTTACACCACAGGAGTTTGAAATTCTAACAGGGATCTTTCAAATAATACATAACAAAAAAAATGGAAATGGTGCTTATTTTTTATTTATTTTTTTGCTGTATTTTTATAGAATTTCAAACTTTTGTTTTTACTTACATTAAATGTTTGTTATGTAACTGTTTATAATCTTTGTTGATTTTTATTAATGTTTATTATATACATTCATTTTTGTTGCACCTGTAAATATTTTGCAACATTATAACTGCATGTACATGTATCACGTACACAAATACGACCTTACTGTAAAGAAAATCTGTATAGTATACAAGTATAATCCGGTAAGACATGGCTGAAGTAATGTCAATATGTTGGTTTATAAAAATATTTGAGCCGCGTCATGACAAAACCAACATAGTACGTTTGCGACCAGCATGGATCCAGACCAGCCTGCGCTTCCACACAGTCTGATCAGGATCCATGCTGTTTGCTATCAGTTTCTCTACTTGTAATAGAGTTGGTAAGCGAACAGCATGGATCCTGATCAGACTGCACGGATGCGCAGGCTGGTCTGGATCCATGCTGGTAGCAAACCCATTATGTTGGTTTTGCCGTGACGTGGCTCAAATTTTATTTCTTCTTCCATATTTACAAACAATATTACAATATATAAATTGCATTCAGGATTGAGTAGAAAGCTTAAAGCTTATATGAAACTCTCTCAAATGTCAATATGTTATGGTTGAATATAATGTATAGTTTAAATTATAATTATATGTTACTTAAGGTTCATTATAAGAATATCTTGCTCTTTAACTTGTACTTGGCTTTCATGAATTTTCCTAGAGTAATTCACAGCCGTTGTTTAAGTAAAATATACATGTAGATACTAATAAGAAATTTAAGCATTCTCATTTGATGAAAAAAGTTGGGTAAAGACTTACATAACACTCCTTATTGTGTGATCCAGGCCAAGCCAAGTTTTCTAAGATTTAAGGATCAGGATCAAATTTTAAAATCAAATTATTCTCCATTGTTCATCCTCTTTGAATTAATATTTAATATTAACTTGATAGAATTGGACTTAAAATAGCACGTTTTTTTGAAATTTTGAAATTTATTGTTATTGAACAAGTTATGGGCACTTTACTGTTTATCCAAATATTGATCCTGATCCTGAAATTGATCCTTATTTCGATTTGATTATTTTTTTATTTGTTTTGTTATTTGGTGATATCTGATCCGAAATAGGTTCGTTTCTGTGCAAATCAACAAATTTTTACATTTTGTTTATGTACCATTTAATTCCAGGAAATTAAAATCAATTTTAGGTTTATAAAACATTGAAAATAAAATCAGGATCACTTGATCCTGATTCTGATGTTTTGTTAGTGAACACTGAGGGCCTTATCAGGGTAAAATCAAATCAAATTAAATACAAATTTATGCTGAAAATTCAATAATGTTTTATTTTTTATATAATTATACATGTAGTATTTATTTAAATATGTATTTTGCATCATATACTTTTCATGCTAGATAAACTTTAAAAAATGTAGTTTTGTATTTGATTATAACCATCATTTTCTGTTTGTTTTGAGATATTGTCATTGAGTTAATGTTAAAATTTGATATTTGAACATGTCTATATCATTCTCTCATGGATATTTATCAATAAGTTAACCTAAATTAAAAATCAAATTCAATGTAAAAAAGTCAAAGATTTTTATATTTTCACAATGGATTAGAACTCATGTTTTATTTAAATGTATGCAAAGTCTAAAAGATTCTTGATAATTTAATTGATTGTTGTAACTTTTGCAAAGAAAATCTTGTTTTCAGATTTAATTTTGTCCAGCTAGTCAAATATTACACAGTATTTTCATTGCTTTGCCATTAATTTCACAGTTTCATTTTTAATGCATTTCAATCATGTACATGACTTTCCACTCACTGTTTTTGTACATGTCAAATGTTGACTTAAAACACATTATAGACATGTATACTGACCATTTTAAAGGGACTCCACTGAGTTTTTTTTGACATAACTGGACTGGAAATATTTCTTTCGAGATTCTATTTGATTTTGGACAAGATCAAAAACTTGTGTGAAAAATATCAGATCATTCGGTCCAGTATAATTATTCTTATTGTGAAAAATTGTCCAAAACGTTGCAAAACTTTTTACTCAAATAGGGTTAAGATAAATGCAAAAATATGAATTTTGATTTATTTCTGAGAATATTTCCTATATTATTATCTTTTGCATATTTTTTTGTTTTAAATGCCCTAGCTAATTTTCATAAGAAATTCATATTTTATGTTTTTTGACCTCTGAGTGGAGTTCCTTTAATAGACTTGTTTAAATATAAACCAGTGACTGATCATTTTTAGCTCGACTATTCGAAGAATATGAGAGCTATTGTAGTCGCCCCGGCGTCGGTGTCGGCGTCAGCGTCCGCGTCGGCGTCTGCGTTGGTTAAAGTTTTTTGTAAAGTCAAATATCTCAATTATTACTTGAGATATTCAATTCAAACTTACAATACTTATTTATAGTAACAAGGTACATCAGATTGACAAGTTGGATAACTCTGCCTACAATATTGACAGAATTATGCCCCTTTTTAACTTAGAAATTTTGGTTAAAGTTTTTTGTAAAGTCAAATATCTCAATTATTGCTTGAGATATTCAATTGAAACTTACAATACTTATTTATAGTAACAAGGTACATCAGATTGACAAGTTGGATAACTCTGCCTACAATATTGACAGAATTATGCCCCTTTGGAACTTAGAAATTTTGGTTAAAGTTTTTTGTAAAGTCAAATATCTCAATTATTGCTTGAGATATTCAATTGAAACTTACAATACTTTATTTATAGTAACAAGGTACATCAGATTGACAAGTTGGATAACTCTGTCTACAATATTGACAGAATTATGCCCCTTTTTAACTTAGAAATTTTGGTTAAAGTTTTTTTATAAAGTCAAATATCTCAATTATTGCTTGAGATATTCAATTGAAACTTACAATACTTATTTATAGTAACAAGGTACATCAGATTGACAAGTTGGATAACTCTGCCTACAATATTGACAGAATTATGCCCCTTTGGAACTTAGAAATTTTGGTTAAAGTTTTTTTATAAAGTCAAATATCTCAATTATTGCTTGAGATATTCAATTGAAATTTAAAATACTTTTTTATAGTAACAATGTACATCAGTTTGCAAAATTGCATAATTATTTGCCCCTTTGAAAGTTAGAAATTTTGGTTAAAGGTTAAAGGTCTTCAAAGATATTTACTTGAAACTTTACACATGCACTTAGGGTCATAATTGGAGGGTCATAATTGTATGTCACTGACCAAGTTCCATAACTCTATCTTGCATTAAGGCTGATTCATATTCCCTTTTCTACTTAGTCTCTTGGTTAATGTTTACATGCAAGTTTTACATATCTCAATAACTATTAAAGATATTTATTTAAAACTTCACATATGCATTTAGGGTCATAATTGTAGGTCACTGACAAAGATCCATAATTCTATCTTGCATTTAGGCTAATTTTTCTCCCCTTTTTCAACTTAGAAATTCATGGTAAAGTTTTGCTTGTAAGCTGTTATCGTCAATAACTACTGAAGGGTTTGTGCCTTTATGGGACAATTTTTATGCATTCATAATAATAAAGCAGTGATTTACTTGATAAAACATCTTAATAACAAGCCTTTGTACCTTTTCTGTCAAATTTATGTATTCATAGGTTATTAGTATTATTATACTCAATAAAACACCCTTGTGACATTACCTTCCGAATAGTCAAGCCAATACTGTATAATTGGCCTATAACATGAATTTATAAAAAAAAAATTGGCCCTTTAGTGAACTTAAAAAATTTAACATTATGAAGGCTCTTTAAATTTACTATCAAGCACTTAGAATAGTCGAGCATGCTGTCCTACTGACAGCTCTTGTTTTAGTTTAATGTCTGTAATATTAGGAAAATGCTATTATGGCTCAATTAATATTAGGAAGTTTTAAACTTGAGTATTTAAAAATACCTAGGAGCTATCAACACAACATTTGGTTATAGTTTTATGATTTTTCACTGAAGTTATTTACTTGAAATTTCACACATGTTCTTTGTTCATACATGTAATTGTAAGTCAATGACCAAGACCCATAACTCTAACATTATAGCTTCTTTTGGCTTTTAAGTGTGAACATAAAAATTTTCAGTCTTTCTCTGGTATTACTATCAAGCACTGAGAATAGTTGAGTAAACGGTTTATCTGAGCAGCTGTGTTAAGAATATAGATTTATGTATGAATACGTATAACTTTTCATAGCACATATCATATTTATGTATCTGAATGAGAAATCAGTGTGTGAATCTCTCAAGTATTAAGTATTGTCCAAGTGCATACCACATATAATTAGTAATAAAGAAGTCTAAAATGACTGTTATATGGCCAGATATGAATATTTGTTTCAACCATTTTTATGTGGCCATATAACCTGTCAATAATCTTTTGTTTGATTATATTGCAAACAACCATTTATATATGGCCATATAACCTGCCAAGAATCTTAGTTACAAATATATTGCAACCATATATATATATATATACAGCAATATATCCTGTCAAGAACCGTTGTTATGAATTTATCATGAAAAACTGTCAATGCCTTATCCACTGTGCAACTTATGCAAATATATCACCATCCACTTTAAACTTGAAAGAAACACATACTGATGCTTTTCACCATGTTGACCATTATCAACCATAAAGCGGCTTTCTAATTCATACTATCATATCTATGTATGTTTGTATATATCATCCATATATCTCATATCATTATCTTCACAAGCAGTAAAGAAGGTGCACCGAATGACAGTAATCTCAACTTATCCCCGAAAACCCCATACGACGAGCGACCCCTTCCTGTTGCAAGAGCAAAGTAAGTCGCTCCCATTACCTGTGTGTTTTTGATATTCCCCGTTTTGTTTTTTTAAACCCCCCAATCCTTGTTGAAGAAGACAAATATTTAAATTCTGTCATTGTTTTACGATATATTTATGTGTGATTTGTGAATGAAGTAACTCCTTGTGTTTGTCAAATTGTTTATTCAGTTATCTGTTAACAAAATGTGATACAATATTTTTCTTCTTTTTTTTTCTTAAAAAAATTAACATCAAATATTTCCCTTTCATACAACATTACATAAACATACAAGTATTTTTTTAGTTTTAAATTTGGAACTTTCAGTATAATTTGCCAACCAAATCGACTTATTTGTCTTCTTCACTTTTCAGTTATTTTGATGTGATTTTGAGTTAAATTAATGAAACTGCTGGTTTATTTGATGTAACTTTGAGTTTGTTTTGCAACATTGAGTTCCTTTCTAAAATTTGGTTTATTTAATGTAACTTTGAGTTCCTTACATGTGAATTAAAGTTATATGCATGTAACATTTGGTTTATTTGTTGTAGCATTGAGTTAATTAGATCCAATATTTGGTTAATTTGATATAAATTTGAGTTAAATTGAATAAAGCACATATTATTTACCCATCATTAAATCACCAACAGATGTCATTTTCACCATTATAATAAGTGGAAAATTAAATATTATTTCTAGATAGCTATGCATGCAATTTTATGAGCATCGTTATTATATTTACTTTAACATTTGCTTAAATTATCATAGACTGCATGCCTTTTTTAAACAAGATTATTTCAAGCATTTGCATGATATCATAGAACTAGCATGTTGCTTTCTTACTCCAGCTTTTTGTGTATTTTATTTTCTTTGCGTCCATTAAACATTGCTTATTTTAAATAATTTTACTAGTATCCTTTACATGTTGTTTTTGCATTTATGTACCTGTTCACAAAATTCCTGTTTAACATGCATTTCCTATTTATTATGTCTTACACAAAATGAGTATTATATAAATTTTATTACTATATCAATCAAGACTTACATGGGAGACAAATTTCAAAATTAAAAAGTAACTGTAATCAAGTATTTTATTGCTTAGGATTTCTTTTCTAGCTTGGAAAAAAATGATTCGATGATAAATTCATCTCTGGAAAAATTGATTAAATAAATTGTATTGTTCAAGAAAAAAGTACCCCATAGCAAATATTAACCTTTCTGTAAATTTTCCTTATTCCTTTGGTATTAATTATACACAATGGTTGAACATGTTTTGCTAAAAAAAATTTAACCAGAAATGACAGAAAATGTGCTCAATAATTATATTGAGTTTTTCTCATAAAAAAAGATTAACTGCATCTCCACTTTAAGGTGTAACATTACTTCAATTAAGGTATATTTCTATGTTATTATTTTAGACCATCAGTTGTACCGGACGAGGATCCGGTAGAGCCACCACCGGACTCAGCTGGTGGGGGTATAACCGGTGAACCGGAACCACTGTCGGAGAAGGATATGAGAGAAGCGTCTGCTGCTGTTGACGTCTTTGGAGAACCTCTGGTCTGTATTTCTCTATTCATCATACTCATTGTTAGGTTTGAGCCTCTAAATTCGATGGTTGCAGCAGATAAAAGCTTTTAAAGAAGATACAGTTTTACCAAAAGATATCTGTGTGTATTCAATTGTTTGATATTAAACTTTATTAAGGGGTAGCCTGCTGATAGGAACTGATTTTACCCATGTGACCTGTGCAGAAGAAGATTAGCCGACACATCTTTGCTATATGATCATGATCTGCACTGTTTGAGTTAACTTTATTGTTTTATGCCTTAAATAATGTTCTGTTAATCTACAGGTATCCAAAGCTTATTCAAAGACCTGGTCGTACAGAGAAGATGCATTACTGGCTGTATATAAACAGATGCAAGAGTTATCGACGGGAAATAAAGACGATGCTCGTACCATGCTTAGAGCCTCTCTATTCCTTATCAAGAAAGCAATAACTGACAAAGTCTATGCTGTAAGTGATTAATGTTTATGATCATTAATGTAGTTAATTATTAATAGAGCTGTCATCGATAGAAATTATATTGATGTATCATTGATATTTTTCTGTCAATCAATAATCGATACACATTTGAAATAATCAATTATTTTGATAAAGTTTTTAAATCAGTTTTCTTCATGCGATTTTGTTATAACAAATTATATTTTGTCATAATATCTTGTTATTTAACCTTTCTTCAATTTGATTCGGTGTCATATAGCTTCAGATAATAAATTAAGCTTGTTCTCCTAGTTGAACAGTGGCCATGGTTGTACTGGGTGCCTGCTTGTACTAGAAATAATACTCAGAGTAGCACTCCACCAGAATAGCTGGAAAGTTGTAGCATGACGTTTACAGATTCTGTGTGACTTCAAACCAAATGAGAAGCTGTGGCCTTAAGTGGTTAAGGTGTGTGCCTCTCAACCCAGGGTTCATAGGTTCGGGCCCTAATTGACCATGCTTCTTCATATGACACCAATACTGGTTGGTTCCAGGAAGCGGACTTAAAAGTCATTAATATAAGTTGCAAGATTTTGTTTCGCAATCTAGCACATGTAGCATAGATAATAAATGTGTTTAAAGTAATCAAACCAAAGGAAGAAAATGCAAATGAGAATATAAAATACATATGTTACATTTTAGCATTGTAATACATATGTCTTGTGAAAAAATCATGTACAGAAAGTGTTATTAAATCTGATGTGTTTATGATTACAGGTGTTCAAAGCTGGTTTAATGCTGCTGAAAATGATACTCACTGAATTTATAAACAAACACAAGTAAGTGATGTCATTATTATACACTGGAGTATAAACTGTAATGAATGTAATGTACTGTCATATATCCGCACTATATTAATGTGAATAGTAAATTTTAAATCTCTTTATCATATGATATTGTTAGTGTTCACAAGATTAAGTCCTCATTCAACTAAAAATAGACTCATTTCTTTTTAGTCATTTCTGTGTTTAGATATTGCTTAGCAAATTTAGTTCTTTTATTTTAGAAATTTTGCAATATTGAAATATCACTTTGTCATCTGAGTCACCTTGACCTTCAAGGTCAGAGAAAGTGATACAGAATCATTATAAATAAAGTATTTCGTATTAAGTTTACTATAACTTAGCTTTTCATTTTCATGTAGCTTTTCATTGAGACTACAAAGTACCAAATATAAACTTATACAAGAAACAATTTTGAGCTGGCTGCTGTGTACTGAAGAACTTGTTTTATTTGTATCAGATTAATTTTTGCTAATATTTTAGAATCAATTTCTTCACTAATTCATAGTTATTGTGAGTCCAAAATTGAGAATATCTTAATTTATTCAGCAACACTTTGAATTTTGGTTATAATGATGATGACCTAAAATAATGAATTATTATAATCTAATAAGGAAAAATATATTGTTTGGGGAAAAAGAACATGAAATTTGAACATTTTGAATTAAAAGCATTCCACGTTTTGATGTACATTATTGTTATGAATTCAAATATTTTTGAATTTTAGACTTGTTAAAGCTGACACTATGACCACAGTTGAGAGAACTCTTCCAAGTTTACTACATAAAAGTGGAGATACTGTGAGTATTTTGATTAACAACATTTTGTCCTTTATAGATATGTGTGTATTTCAGACTAAACTTGATGCCAGGTGTTGTGAATTTGTGTTTAAATTAAGGATTAGAATGTAAGTTTTAGAGAGGCATGTGTGGCTTTGTAATGTTAAGTTGATAAAAAAATTTGATTTGTTTTCCACTGTTTTGAATTATTTATATGTGAAGAAGTTGTCATAGACTTGTAGTAAAACATCTGTAAAAAAATCTTCAGAAATACAATTGTGATACATTTGTGGTATTTAACTGTAATATGAAAAATGTTCAACAAATTTTTGCAGTTTGATAAGTATGTAAAATGAAAAAAATAAAATGTTGACTACTCATTATTGTTATAAAGCAATATGATTATATTATATTATGTTATCATCTTTATATACATTGTTATCACTCTCTCCCTGTGTCTTGACCGTTCTTTGTGTGGGATGATCATTTGTGAAAATTCACTGCTTAAAGTATAGACATGTTAATCCTCAATGTCTAGGCTTGCAAACATTATGCACAGCTTTTTTGTCAGTGTTTATATTTACTGAAGGCAAATTTTTCCCTTTGTAGGCTGTGAGAAATAGAGATGATGCAAAAAACTTTATTTATGAAATGGCGGAGTTTCCTACAGTGAAGGTAATTTCTTCAGTTTTTATTTACAATGGGACAGTAAATTAAACACATTTAAAGATTTTATATTTGATTCTTTCAGTACTGGATTCAATTGTCATGTTGACAAAAAATAAACTTTCCTTCACAATCCGATAGTGAATTTAGTATATTAAATGTTTTTTAAATTTCTTTCTAACTGATTGATATGTAACCAAATTTAAAAAAAATCTTTGTGTTTTTTTTGGTCCTAATTGCAAAACAAACATCTATTTCATTTAAGCCTACAATGGTAGTTCCTCATGAGTGTGTGAAGGCATGGAAAGGTAACCCTGCACCTAGACTGGCTCAAAGTAGAGCCGAGATAGTGGAGGCACTGTATGAACAACTTGGCATTAAAGACTCAAGAAGGTTATTATTATGGTGGCTGTTTTGTGCCATTCATGTTTTTGCCCTGTGACCCCGTCAAGCGAAAAGTCGAGAATAAACAAGTTAAAATGGCAGGGTCGCGGAGCGAAAACAAGCTAATTAGCGGTTTAATAAAAAAGTTTGCCCCACAGGGTTCATTATATCATTGCCGGAACTGTTTGCATGCAAGCTGGGATAGTGACTTCCCTGTGCAAAAAGGCCGTCAAATCTGTGCACAGGTGGCGGCATGGCTGACTGGTCCCCACCTCAGACTAGTAATTTAACAATCGCTAGGTGCAAAGGTTCAAACGCAATCACGGGCAAGTCATTGTTTCCTTGAATAAGAAACTTTACACTTGTTGCTCAGTACTGGTTGGCTCCAGGAACAAATTCGAAAGTACGTTTTATAAGCTTATAGCTTCCTACACAATCAAACTAAAGTAAATTCTTGATGAAGGTCTTGAAAGCTCGAAACCATTAGATCCTTGAATAAACCATTTACAATCCATCCTGATGTTTGACATGTGTTCTCTCCTCTTGATTTACTTGATAAAGTAAATTCTGTATAAAACAAATCTGTGCAGGGTGAACAGGCCATATGATTTCAGCTATTTTAATAACTTAGATTACAATAGGCATTTCCAAATACAAAACAGGATACCAGTTTGCCTGCTTATCTCAGTAGAGTTAACATCACATTAGTAATCCAGTGGTCCCAGGTTCAATCCTTGGATGAGGCAATGTTCATCCTTGACAACTGATCGCAGCAGGTGTCCTTTGCCAAGTGGTTAAGATCGTTGACTTCAAACCACATGCCCCTCACTGCTGTGGGTTCGAATCCCGACTTTGGATTCTTTCATGTAAGGAAGCTATCCAGCTAGCTTACAGAACGTCAGTGGTTCTACTCAGGTGCCAGTTTGTGCCTGAAATAATTCACAGAAGGGCACCTGAGGTCTTCCTCCACCAGTAAAACTTGAACGTCGCTAATGTCACCTATACAGTGTCGGTGTGATGTATATCCCAATTAAACAAACAAACAAACTAATCTCAGACATTGATTCTTACTGTCATTTGTCATTCACAGCAGATTTAGAAATTATGTGTGATAATTAGTCTGTTGCAGATAATGGTAATTACCAGAAAGATATCTAGGAAAGCCATTAGGGTGGACAAACTGCCAAGATATGACCAAAAGTCTGTTGAAATTGGTATTAAAACAAATCAAACAAAAAAAAACAACCTAATAACGGTCACAGTGTTGATGTGACTTAAATATTACAATCAAATTAACCTGTTATTATTTCAGTGGTCTGACGACGGACAACATAATGAATTTCTGTGTGGTTGCGTTACAGCATACGTCTGCAGATGTAAGACTTGTGGCTGAGAGAATAGTTAAAGGTAGATTTTAGTTATTTTTTATCAAAAGGTACATAAATAAATATATAAATGATGCATGCATCTAGGCCATATTAATTAATTAAAAAGATTCAAAAAAGAAATTTTCAAACATAGATTTTATATAGTAATTAAATAGTTGGTCCTGGATATTTTTATCACAATAGAATTTGTATCATTGGCAATCCCTGGTTAAATTGATGGAAAAAGATGAACAAAAATGTAACAGAGATCAATGCACACACATTTTTAACATGTGTTTATTTATAGTTCCAATTTAAAACCTCTGTAGAAAACTAGACGAAGTATAGAAATAACTTGCAGTTCAAACAAATGAAAATTATACATGAATTATATTTTTTTATATTGATTTATTTAAAGCATAAATTACATTTTTATATTGATTTATTTATAGCATTTTACAATGAAATAGGTCAACCAATTACATTTTTTTGTATAGATTTATTTATAGCGTAAATTACATTTTTATGCCCCCGGGCATATAGTAATTGAACTGTCCGTCCGCACTACCGAATAGGAATAGGGGGCCATCTAACTGTAAACAGAACAAAAGAGAACAATAGAATTCATTCCGTAACAATAGAGTAAGGGGCCATTGGCCCTCTATTAAACAATAGAAAACAAAAGAAACGGCCCCTTATTCCATTTCGGCCGTCCGTCCGTCTGTCCGTACGAGGTTAACCTAGAACGGCAAGTTGGATTTTTCTTAAGTTCTACCTTTACGTATGGCTTCTAAGTTTACACACTTACAAATCAATACAAAATACAAAGAACATGATCTGGGCAAGTTTCATAACTCTGGCTTTCATATTTACCAAGTTATTGCCATTTTCAGCACTTAGAAAATGAATAGTGGTTAACCTAAAACGGCAAGTTGGAAATATCTTAAGTTCTATCTATACTAATGGCTTTATAATTTCCTCACTTCTTATCAATACAAAGCACATGATATTGCCAATTTATATAACTGTGTCATCCATATTTCCCAATTATTTCCCTTTTTTCACTTTGAAAATAGGGCCTTGTCTGGTTAACCTATTTTGGCAAGTTGGATTTATCTTAAATTTCTCCTAATTGCTTAAAATTTTTACTGATATCTTTCATATTTAGTAGGTGGATACCTTTGATGGTCCTCTAATTATACCCCCACCACAAAATGTGGGGGGGGCTATAATGGATTCGCTTTGTCGCGTCGGTCAGTCCGTCCGTCGGTCGGTTGGTCCGTCTCCATTTTCGTGTCCGCTCTATAACTCCTATACCAATTGAAGGATTTTCTTCAAACTTGGCTCAAATGTTCACCTCAACAAGGGGATGTGCAGATCCCATATTGCCCATGTGTCAGTTCAAGGTCAAGGTCACAATTGAAGGTCAAATATCAAATACTATCAAATATTACACAGTATGTCATGTCCGCTCTGTAAGTCCTACACTACTTGAAAGATTTTCTTCAAACTTGGCTCAAATGTTCACCTCAACCAGGGGATGTGCAGAACCCATGTCGCCCATGTGTCAGCTCAAGGTCAAGGTCACAATTGAAGGTCAAATATCAAACAATTAAATATTACACAGTATGTCGTGTCCGCTCTGTAAGTCCTACACTACTTGAAAGATTTTCTTCAAACTTGGCTCAAATGTTCACCTCAACAAGGGGATGTGCAGAACCCATGTTGCCCATGTGCCAGCTCAAGGTCAAGGTCAGAATTGAAGGTCAAATATCAAATACTATCAAATATTACACAGTATGTCGTGTCCGCTCTGTAAGTCCTACACTAATTGAAAGATTTTCTTCAAACTTTGCTCAAATATTCACCTCAACAAGGGGATGTGCAGAATCCATGTTGCCCATGTGTCAGCTCAAGGTCAAGGTCACAATTGAAGGTCAAATATCAAACAATCTAGTATTACACAGTATGTCATGTCCGCTCTGTAAGTCCTACACTAATTGAAAGATTTTCTTCAATCTTGGCTCAAATGTTCATCTCAACCAGGGGATGTGCAGAACTTATGTCACTCTTTTGCTGGCTTAAGGTCAAGGTCACACTTTAAGGTCAAAAATTGACTTAGAAAATATTCTTAAATTTTAACATTTATTTGAATATTTCTAAATCTAGAAAAGGTATTTGCTTGAAACTTAAAATATTTTTGAAGGGTCACAATTCCGATATGCTGTTCGTCAAGTTTCATAACTCTGTATTGCATTTTACCAAAGTTATGCCCCTTTTAAGTCTTCAAATTTACATACAATCAAATATTAGACAATATGTTGTGTCCGCTCTATAAATCCTATACTAATGGAAGAAATTCTTCAACTGTTACTCAAATTTCACCTCAACAAGGTTATGTGCAGAATCCATGTTACCTTTGTGCCGGCTAAAGGTCAAAGTCACACTTGAAAGTCAAAAATTGACTTAGAAAATGTTCTTAAATTTTAACATGTACTTGAATAATTCTGAAACTAGCGCAGGCATTTGCTTGTAACTTAAAAGATATATGAGGTGTGGCAAATAAGATACGCAGGTCAAGTTTCATTACTCTGTATTGCATTTTGACAAAGTTATGCCCCTTTTAAGTCTTCAAATTTACATACAACCAATACTAGACAATATATTGTGTCTACTCTATAAATTCTATACTAATGGAAGGATTTTCTTCAAACTTTACTCAAATGTTCAACCAAACTGGGTAATGTGCAAAACCCATCTTACCCTTGTGCCAGATTAAGGTCAAGGCCACACTTAAAGGTCAAAAATTGACTTATAAATAAAATGTTTAATACATTGGGAAAATGAAAGGTTATTTGTACCTGTTTCGAACATGATTTGATAATATATATTTATACTATTACCTGAACAATTAGTCTTTTTTTCACCAGAGATAATTTCTTTTTATGTATTTGTGCCACATAAGTTATTTCCTTAACCACCTTTCCAAGTGGTCTTCTGTCAAGGACATTGGTGGGGGTATGAATCGCATTCAGCGATAGTTCTAGTTTTTTTTTTGGAGTAAGTGGTCTCTAGGGTCAAGGTCACTGGTTTAAAAAATAAATATAAACCTTTTTGCTCATACAGCCTTTATTTTTAGCTCACCTGTCACAAAGTGACAGGGTGAGCTTTTGTGATCGCTTTTCGTCCGTCCGTCGTCCGTCCGTCCGTCGTCCATCCGTAAACTTTTACTTTAAATGACATCTCCTCATAAACCACTAAGCCAATTTCATCCAAACTTCACAGGAATGTTCCTTTGGTGGTCACCTTTAAAAATTGTTCAAAGAATTTAATTCCATGCAGAACTCTGGTTGCCATGGCAACCGAAAGAAAAAACTTTAAATATCTTCTTTTAAAAAACCATAAGAGCTAGAGCTTAGATATTTGGCATGAAACATCTTCTAGTGAGTGTCTACCAAGTTTGTTCAATTAAAAGCCCTGGGGTCAAAATTGGCCCCACCCCGGGGGGTCATTGATTTTCCCTATATGCATATAGTAAAAACTTAAAAAATCTTCTTTTAAAGAACCCAAAGAGCTAGAGCTAAGATATTTAGCATGAAACATGTTCTAATGGGTGTCTACCAAGTTTGTTCAAATAAAAGCCCTGGGGTCAAAATTGGCCCCGCCCAGGGGGGTCATTGATTTTCCCTATATGCATATAGTAAAAACTTTAAATATCTTCTTTTAAAGAACTCAAAGAGCTATGGCTAAGATATTGAGCATCAAACATGTTCTAATAGGTGTCTACCAAGTTTGTTCAAATAAAAGCCCTGGGGTCAAAATTGGCCCTGCCCCGGGGGGTCATTGATTTTCCCTATATGCATATAGTAAAAACTTAAAAAATCTTCTTTTAAAGAACCAAAAGAGTTAGAGCTAAGATATTTAGCATGAAACATGTTCTAATAAGTGTCTACCAAGATTGTTCAAATAAAAGCCCTGGGGTCAAAATTGGCCCCGCCCCGGGGGTCATTGATTTTCCTTATATGTGTATAGCAAAAACTTAAAAAATCTTCTTTGAAAAAAACCCAAATAGCTAGAGTTAAGATATTAAGCATGAAACATCTTTTAGTGAGTGTCTACAAAGTTTGTTCAAATAAAAGCCCTGGGGTCAAAATTGGCCCCGACCCGGGGGTCATTGATTTTCTTTATATGTGTATAGCAAAAACTTAAAATCTTCTTTGAAAAAACCCAAATAGCTAGAGTTTAGATATTAAGCATGAAACATCTTCTCGTAAGTGTCTACAAAGTTTGTTCAAATAAAAGCCCTGGGGTAAAAACTGGCCCTGCCCCAGGGGTGTCATTGTTTTTAACTATATGCATATAGTAAAAACTTAAAAAAAAAATCTTCTTTTAAAAAGCCCAATGAGCTAGAGCTTAGATGTTTATAATGAAACATCTTCTTATGGGTGTCTACCAAGTTTGTGCAAATACAAGCCCTTGGGTTAAATTGGTCCTGCAACGTTTGGGGGGGGGGCCTATATACAGGTGAGCGACCTCAGGGCCATCATGGCCCTCTTGTTTAGTTGATGTCTTAGTTTAATACAAACACCTCCTTCTTTGGGTGTAGTATGGGGTCATTTGGGTCAAGGTCAATGTTACCAATGTCAAGGTCACCAATGTTAAAAATAGATTTTTACATTTTTACAGGTGTATTGACCTTATTCTATAGACAGATGTTATTTATTATTGATAGAAACATAAACTTTGATGGAGTAAGTGGTCTGTTGTGTCAAGGTCACCAGTGCTAAAAATAGATTTTTACACATTTGCTCATACAGCCTTTATTAAGTGACAGCTATATTTTATATTTGGTAGGAAGATAACTTGCATGGTATTCATCCTTTTGATTGGGGTAGGGATCAGTGGGTCAAGGTCACTTGTGCTTAAAATAGATTTTTACACTTTTGCCCATACAGCTTTTATTAATGGACAGTTGTATTTCATATTTGGTAGGAAGATAACTTGCATGGTATTCTTCCTTTGGATGGAGTAAGGGGTCAGTTGGGTCAAGGTCACAAGTGCTAAAAATAGATTTTTACACTTTTGCCTATACAGCCTTTATTTATTGACAGATGTATTTCATATTTGGTAGGAAGATAACTTACATGGTATTCTTCTTTTGGATAGAGTTAGGGGTCAGTTTGGTCAAGGTCACCAGTGCTCAAAATAGATTTTTACACTTTTGCCCATACAGCCTTTATTTAATGACAGATGTATTTCATATTTGGTAGGAAGGTAACTTGCATGAAGTTGAATATTTTTCAACTTCACAAGTCAGAGCAATGACTTGGCAACTTATATTTTTCACAATTACAAAATGCCATGACTTTGTCAAGCTATAAAACGTGTTTACAATTTTTTGGCGTTTTTTCTGTCCATAACTGTGTGAATGGGTAAACATTTTTTGAAGTATTGCTACTGACAAGAATCTGAGCGGGGGCATTTATGTTTAACAAACACGTTCTTGTTTTAATATTGATTTATTTATAGCATTATACAAGGAAGCAGGTCAACCGGTGAAGGATTATCTCCCTGTAGATGACGAGAAAACACGCAAGAATACAATGTGGAGATTGTTATTTGAATATTTTGACCAGATTGATGGAAAACCAAGCAAATCTGATATTAAGGTAATTATGCTAAGGAAATATTTACAAAAACATTTTCTTGCTTAACTTATAAGTCAGCATTGGGACTTTTCAAGTTATGTAGGTATACCGATGATTAATTGCATTAAATCAGATATCTGAGCAAGATTGGGATGGGTTTGGATTCTGTGTGGAACCCACTCAGTTTCTTTAGGCCAGCTGTATACCTAGTATAAGAATTCAATATCCTTTCTAGTTAATGAAGTTTCTCTTTTCAAGTGAAATAAATAAAAGTCCTGAAAAGTAAGTATTTTCAGATTTCTCGGTTTATTTTAACTTAACCTTAAGTCTTATGGTGACTACTGAATCTACTTCTGTGACCAATGCAGACCAAATCAGGTGACATGTCCTTACCATCTGAACATGGTCTGCACTGTTTGCTGTTCAGGGAGTATTTATTTGCAATTTTCCCAAAAAAATGATCAGTTTTGTCCACAACTAAAATTAATAGAAAAGTCCATTTTAAATATTTTAGCTTAAAAATGAGTTGAGTCTTTGGACTGTTTTGAGTGGCAGCTTATTATGATATTATGTTTCAATAGTAATTTTGTTTATTATATTCAGCAGAGTTTTCTTCCAGGATTTTTGAAACATGACTCATACACATGGAGTTGGGAAGTTTAGTGATGTTTTGTTAAATATTGGGAAAAAATTCATGACTTAAATTTTGCAGTGATTAAATAAATGCAAAGAATCACTGTCTAGAATGGCATCTTCAAACAGTTAAGCACCATAACAGTGAAAAAGCCCTTATTTGCAAACATTTAGAATTTGCTATTCAGTATTTCTAATTTGTAACTTTCAATTGGGAATTTTTTCCTGTCGATTGGGCAAATGATATACTATCTATTTTCAATTGGGAATATGCCCGAATATGGGCAATAAAATGAGCCAAAAAAATGGTCCCAGTATTATAATGTTTTATTTTATATTGTAATATTTTATATTATAGAGACAAAAGGCAGAGGAAGAGAGTAAGAAACAACAAGAGATAGAAGGTTTACAACGACAATTACAACAACTTAAAGATATGGCTTCAGGAAAAGCAGTATGTAACATTATACAGTTATATACTTATGTTATTAGTTATAAAGATTCCTGACTGGTTATATCGTCCTATATAATTGATTGTTTGCAGATGTAACCGAGCCACAAGGGGAAGGTTATACGAGGGAACTGTCGAAAGTTTTGTCCAATGGTCTATAAAAAATGAACAAAATGCAAATTTCAAATTATTTCTTTTTATTTCCTTCAAAATAATCTCCATTGTGAGAAATGCATAACTTCAACCTTTTAAGCCAATTCCGAAAAGCATTTTCATAGTCTTTTTTAGGGATACGTTTTAGACACTGATAAACAGCGGAAGCTACTGCATTAAGACTGCCATATTTCCTTCCAGACAGCATCCTTTTCAATTTTGGAAACAGGAAAAAGTCTGCAGGAGCCAGGTCTGGTGAATAGGGTGGATGGGGAAGAACTGTCACTTTTTTGGTTTTCAAAAAATCCTTTACAACACTAGATGTATGCGCTGGGGCATTGTCGTGTAATAAGTGAACACCTCTTAATCCTGTCCTTGGTCGATGTTTTTCAAAGTACTTATTTAACTTTTTCAGAATTTTTCGTTTGTATAATGTTCCTGTTACTGTGCGCCCCTTAGGTACAGAGACTTGAATAATAGGACCATTGATGTCGAAAAATACAGCCAACATTACTTTCTTAACACTAATCGTTCTTTTAGCAATTACTGGTCTACGAGCGTGTCGTGTGGCCCATATCTTATTATCTATTTTCCTGTGTGGTTCAAAAAAATGAACCCACGTTTCGTCACCAGTAACTATGTTCACAAAACGCTTTCGCTCAAATTTAGGGTATAACTAAAATAGTTTTTTAGCCATCTTAACACGTTGTGTCAATTGGTCCTTGGTAAGAATATGGGGTATCTATCGAGCAACTTTGCGTGAAAGTCCAAGGTTCTTCTTTAAAATCCTACGAGCAGATGCTTCTGAAATACCAGTCATCTGAGCTATCTCGGGAGACGTATATCTGGCATCTGACTTCAAAATATTACTAATCTTCGAGATGTTTTTCGGGGTCACTGCTGTGCGTCTCCTGCCAGATCTAGATGCATCTTGAATAGAGTCAAATCCACTATTAAATTTCGCAATCCAGTTTCTAACCAGCCTATACGATACTTCATTATCCCCATAAACTTGGCATATTTCATTAAAGATAGATTTTGGTTCAATTTTAAGTTCATTGCGAGCTTTGATATAGGTGCGAATTTCATCACTTTTCAACGAACGTTTACCAACCATTTTAAACACTAGTATGAATGACTACTCATTTAAGATCCCAATTTTATGTAAGTTATTCTTGTCGCACATCAATGATTTTGATATCATTGTGTAGATAAAGAACTAAACCGTGTAAAGATAAATACTGCACGATTATTCCATGAGTGTTCGGCTTTTTATTGTCTAATGGACAAAACTTTTGACAGTTCCCTCGTATTGCGAACAATTGTTTATATATGGCCATATAACCTGTAGGGAATTTTCATTATGATTTTATAATACAGCAAACTTTCTTCTTTACTTTGTTCTTTACAGACAATATGCAATTGTTTTGACATAATGAAAGCAGCCATGTATATAAGACTATATGAACGTCGTGATTATTCAATGAAAAATGACATTACAAACGTGCAGTATTATAATGTGCTTTATATAGAGTTTATCAGACTTACAAAAAGTAACATATCATTCCAGGTTAGGAAAAGCTTATTTTTATGCCCCCACAGAGTGGGAGCATATAGCGTTGCACTTGTCCGTCCGAGTGTCAGTCCGTCCGTCAGTCCGTCCGTACGTCCCGAAATCTTGTGAACGCAACTCCTCTTAAACCGGATGGCAGATTTTGCTTAAACTTACAGGGATGAACAACCTTAATGTGTAGATGGTAGTAAAGGAAGGAATTTTCGCTGCGACCAAATTTAACAGAATTATGGCCCTTTGTTGATTTTTTCACTATATACTATGTAGAAATTTTGTGAACGCAACTCCTCTTAAACCGCATGGCAGATTTTGCTTAAACTTACAGGGATGAACAACCTTAAGGTGAAGATGGTAGTAAAGGAAGGAATTTTCGCTGCGACCAAATTTAACAGAATTATGGCCCTTTGTTGATTTTTTCACTATATACTATGTAGAAATTTTGTGAACGCAACTCCTCTTAAACCGCATGGCAGATTTTGCTTAAACTTACAGGGATGAACAACCTTAAGGTGAAGATGGTAGTAAAGGAAGGAATTTTCGCTGCGACCGAACTTTACAGAATTATTGCCCTTTGTTGATTTTTTCACTATATACTATATAGAAATTTTGTGAATGCAACTCCTCTTAAACCGGATGGCAGATTTTGCTTAAACTTCCAAGGATGAACAACCTTTATGTGTAGATGGCAGTAAAGGAAGGAATTTTCGCTGCAACCAAATTTAACAGAATTATGGCCCTTTGTTGTTTTTTTCATTATATACTATGTAGAAATTTTGTGAACGCAACTCCTCTTAAACCGGATGGCAGATTTTGCTTAAACTTCCAGGGATTAACAACCTTAATGTGTAGATGGTAGTAAAGGTAGGAATTTTTGCTGCGACCAAATTTATCAGAATTATGGCCCTTTGTTGATTTTTAGTTTTCAACTTGTGGCACATGTAGTCCAAAAAAAATTTGACCTAGAGTCATAAGATTGACAGAACAGTGGTGTGTGGGGGCATCCGTGTCCTATGGACACATTTCTAGTTTGTTATAGAAACATATGTGTATAATCATTATTTTGTATACCACTGGCTAGAATAATTTATATCTCTATCTTTTGAAAGAATATTACATCACGCATGCTAAAACAAACGGGTATGTATGTCTTTAACGGCCTACACATCTTTTTGTGGACTAGTGTCGCAAATGCAAATCAGCGAATCAGAACTGCACCTTTATAAATGGTTTACAATCTTAAATAATGCAGATTATTCTTAGTGTTAGTTTAAACATATTTTTTTAAGCTCGATTGCAAAACAAGTTCTTGCAACTTATATAAATCACTTTGGAGTCTGCATCCTAGAACCAACCAGGACTGGTGTCATATGAAGAAACATGGTCCTGACCCAAGTATGGCTCAAACCAATGATCCCTGGGTTGTTAGGTAGACATCTTAACCACTAGGCCACCACCCCCTTTCTTAGTGTTGTGTTTGGTTATAAGTCAATAATATTAAAATGTGTAAAGCTATAAATTATGTAATGAAATATTTTCAAAAAATTATTAGCAGTAAAATTATGTTGCCTCTATAATCTTACAGTGGATTCTTGAAAGAGATTTTTGGTTATACAAATATAGCATAATTGTGTGCTAATAGCATTAAACTATATACATGTCCATGAAGAAAGGTCACCAATAGTTTGCAAAATATGTAAAAACTTTTTATGCAAGCATAAAAATGCCTCCCCCGAAAGGGTGGAATATTATAATTGCACCGTCTGTCTGTGTGTCTTCACTTGTACAACATTAGTGTCCAGACTGTAACTTTTTATTAGCTCACCTGAGCACAAAGTGCTCAAGAGTGAGCTTTTGTCATCACTCTGCGTCCGTCGTGCGTCCGTGAGTCCTTCAAAAAATGGCATCAAACTTTTCAAATAACATCTCCTCCTAGACCACATGGCCAATTGCAATCAAACTTTACAGAAATGATCCTTAGGTGGACCCCTTTCAAAACTGTTCAAAAATTTAAATTCCTTAAAAAACTCTGGTTGCCATGGCAACCAATAGGAAAAACTTAAAAAATCTTCTTTTAAAAAATCCTAAGAGCTAGAGTTTAGATATTTTGCATGAAACATCTTCTAATGAGTGTCTATCAAGTTTGTTCAAATCAAAGCCCTGGGGTCAAAATTGGCCCCGCCCCAGGGGGTCATTGATTTTCCCTATATGCATATAGTAAAAACTTAAAAAATCTTCTTTTAAAGAACCCAAAGAGCTAGAGCTAAGATATTAAGCATGAAACATCTTCTAATGAGTGTCTACCAAGTTTGTTCAAATAAAAGCCCTAAGGTCAAAATTGGCCCCGCCCCAGGGGGTCATTGATTTTCCCTATATGCATATAGTAAAAACTTAAAAAATCTTCTTTGAAAAACCCAAATAGCTGGAGTTTAGATATTAAGCATGAAACATCTTCTAGTGAGTGTCTACAAAGTTTGTTCAAATAAAAGCCCTGGGGTCAAAATTGGCCCCGCCCCGGGGGTCATTGATTTTCCTTATGTGACAGTGTATAGCAAAAACTTAAAAATCTTCTTTGAAAAAACCCAGATAGCTAGAGTTTAGAAAAAGCATGAAACATCTTCTAGTGAGTGTCTACCAAGTTTGTTCAAATAAAAGCCCTAGGGTCAAAATTGGCCCCGCCCCAGGGGGTCATTGATTTTCCCTTTATGCATAATTATAGTAAAAACTTAAAAAATCTTCTTTTAAAGAACCCAAAGAGCTAGAGCTAAAATATATAGCATGAAACATCTTCTTATGAGTGTCTACCAAGTTTGTTCAAATCAAAGCCCTGGGGTCAAAATTGGCCCCGCCCCAGGGGGTCATTGATTTTCCCTATATGCATAAAGTAAAAACTTAAAAAATCTTCTTTTAAAGAACCCAAAGAGCTAGAGCTAAAATATATAGCATGAAACATCTTCTAATGAGTGTCTACCAAGTTTGTTCAAATCAAAGCCCTGGGGTCAAAATTGGCCCCAACCCCAGGGGGTCATTGATTTTCCCTATATGCATATAGTAAAAACTTAAAAAATCTTCTTTTAAAGAACTCAAAGAGCTAGAGCTAAGATATTTAGCATGAAGCATGTTCTAATGGGTGTCTACCAAGTTTGTTCAAATAAAAGCCCTGGGGTCAAAATTGGCCCCGCCCCGGGGGTCATTGATTTTCCTTATATGTGTATAGTAAAAACTTAAAAAATCTTCTTTTTAAAAACCCAATGAGCTTGAGCTTAGATGTTTAGCATGAAACATATTCTTATTGGTGTCTACCAAGTTTGTTCAAATAAAAGCCCCTGGATTAAAAATGGCCCTGACAAGGGGGGGGGAGGGGGGGGGGGGAGTTGATAGATCATTGTTTTTCATTATGTGTAGTAAAAACTTAACATTGTGAAACATCTTCTAAACGGTGTCTTCTAAGTTTGTTCAAATAAAAGCCCTGGGGTTTAAACTGGCCCCGCTCTGGGTGCCTTTATACAGATGAGCGACCTCAGGGCCATCATGGCCCTCTTGTTTAGTTCAATACAGTAAACTTCACTTATAGCGAACACGGTTATAGCGAACTTCCGGTTATAAGGAACAATTTATTTTGGCCCAAATTTTGCCCTTCTTTATCTAATATAGAAATATACGGTTATAGCGAACATGGTTATAAGGAATTATCGCTTATAAGGAACTCATTTCTTAGTCCCAATTTAGTTAAAAGTACAGAAAATTACACTTTAATAACGAACTCCAAAATATCGGCTATCCGTAGATAGATCCCGCATTTTCAACTTTCGTTTTGTTTTCATTGGCACTGGCCGAATGTACCGTTTATTGTTGTATGTACTTCAAGACATCATATTAAAATGAATTTGTATAGCAGTACGTAATAGCATAATCTATTGAAAACTACAAAGTAGGCTTGATTTAAATGAAAAGAAATCTAATCTATATTTTTCATTAGTAAAAGTTACCCTTAAAATATAATAGAAGATATTCAATATGAAAGGAAGAAAATCGAAAATCTTGTTTATTCTTAATCATGGAAAGAAAACGAAAAGTACTGAGTATCTGATATTTTATGAGAAATTGAGAAAGGGAGTAAAATTAAAACTGAAATAGCAAAGGATTTTCAAATTCCAAAAAGTAGGCTCTCGGGTATTGTGTTTAAAATAGAAATAAATGACTAATTTTTCTTTATCAAATGCTTTCCAAAATGGCGGACATTGGTAAACAATCAGTTGGTTATATGTAAATCTGTTCGCTGTAAAACTCCTGATACAAGGAACTAATTCGCTATATGCTTACAAGGAACTCGGGATATAAGGAACAGATTTTGAATGTCCCGATGAGTTCGTTATAAGTGGAGTTTACTGTACATAAATTTAGTATATAATCTACACTCTTTGATTTAAACAATTAATATGTCCCATTATTGGCATGCCTTTCTCTTACAGTATACATCTATATGTCTGATTTTGTAATTTTGTCATATTGCAGCCTGTTGATGAAAATGTACTAAAAGCTGACGCTAAAAAAGGTCTTAAGGTATGAGTAGTTATACCTTTGTATTTAAAAAAAAGACTTGTTTTGATAAAAAAAGAACAAAAGGAATTCAACTTTTAACTTTTAGATCATTGATATAATGATAAGAATTAATCTTGATTAAATTTAAGTAAGTTTTCAAAAGTATGTAATATGTAGGTGTTAACTTTAATTTGGAACATAAGCATTTTTTTCCACATTTATTTTATACGTAGCTTCTGATAATAAAATTACATATGCCTATTGTTTAAAAATGGTTACTTTGTATAGAGGAAGAAATAGTGTATGTTTATTTGTTCAAAATTGTATGACAAATTAATGAATTAGTGTTAATATGATAATTTTTACAGAAAGGAGGGAAAGCAGCTCCTAAGACAAAACCTAAGCCCGACCCTGATGATGATACATCAGTTTATAACATGGACAAGTATGTAGCTTTTTTAAATATATGTGATTTCTCTTAATCTTCTGATCACCTGTTACTGTCACATGCTACTAGACTTATAGCAGCATGCCTTCAGATTGATGCTAATTTTTATGAAAATTTTGAAAATGTATTTAAAAATGTATTTGAAAGTAAAATATTGTGTAGTGAACTAAGAAAGTTATCTAAACATACATTGCAAATGACACTTACAATCCATGTAAATTAGCCAGAAAAGGTCAAAATATACTAAAAATACCCTTACTGTGTAGTCTCGCAGTAGATATATGGTGATAAATACTGTAAAATCATTCATTATTGGCACATAACTTGTAAATTATTACTTGAATATTGAATCTTAGTCTAAGAAAAGCTAGACATGTTAACCACTCAGCCATGCCACCAAAGTCTTGATATATGGCCATAGAAAATTAATCTTTAGACTCTCATCCAGGTTTCAAGAAATAATTCGGGCGGATGGGTGGAATTTATAATTTATAATTTATTTTATCCATCACTTTTAAGACCTGAAAAAACAGAAATGTATGAATAAACAAAAGTGTTTAAATCTGCAATGGCAAAATTTTTCAAATATATTGATGAACGTCGCATCATTTCCACCCAGATTTTGATCAAAACTAAACCCAAACCAATCACAAACAGTTTTCTTGTTTACTGCATCATATATTTCACATATGACGAACATTTTGACAATTTTACTGATCGAAAACGAACGTATTTAAAATCTTGATCACTAGACGCTGTAAACCTCAGTCTGATTTTTATGCGTTCGTCCCGCGAATATTCGACCACGATTTTCGGACGAATTTTCGTCCACAGACATCTGCGAAATGAACAATTTTTTTTTATGAAAATAAATTATTTTGGAGGGGAAAGATTTTGATACGGGCGGGCGAGGATGAGAGTCTAAAAATTAATTTTCTGTGGCCTAAACAAACATTAATGATTGGGAAAAAAAACATACACACACAAAATAGGGATGATTGCATGAACTGTTTATATTTCAGTATATGTATATTTTGTGGAGAGAAGAATTCTAGTTTCACAGAGGAAGGTTTAGATCTGCATTACTGGAAAAATTGTCCAATGTTGAAACGTTGTGCCAATTGCAAACAGGTATTTAATAGTTTTCCATTACTATGTAATTATATTACCAATTCAAAACCGGAAATATATGTTTTGTTAACAGTTCAAGTATTTTCAATGTTTAAAAAGTATCCTAGTTTCTTATGGCATTGTACAAATGTTATTAGAAAATATTGTGTATCACCAATATAAGTGTATTTGTGGCTGTCAGAAGCGTAAATTTTTTCAATCAGAAAACCAATTTTTTTTGTGTCGCCTTAAAAAGGCGACATATAGGGTTTACTTTTGTCAGTGGTGTTGGCTTCAGCGGTGTAGGCCTCCCCTTTTGCTTGTCTGGAGCATAAGTCAGTCATTATAAGTTGGATTGACTTCAAACTTGGTATGCATGCTTCTTATAATGACTCGAAGTGCAATGCTTAAGAACCGGTACTCTGCACTTCTTAATTTTTGAGTTATTGCCCTTAATTAATTTTCATTAGGGATGGCAACGAATACCAAAATCAATACTCGAGTACTCGGTCATTTTTCCGATCGAGTACTCGGTTACTCGGATGATTTCCAATGATATTTAAAGTTTTATCACACAATATCAGCACCGTCTGCATGCTACTTTCGTTTTCAATTTTAATTCATAGAATTCGTAACTATAAATAGGACTGCAAGAAATACATATATAAATATAAATATAAGAAATGTCAATGACAGCATTTATTATATACATTGTACCCTAGAATACAGGAGGAACTTGAAGCGGATAGAAAAGTCCGTATTATGTTAGTGACAAATACGGTACCATATATGGAAGTGCCGGACTATTTTTGACGTTGGTTCCTATCTTAGCTGTGTATAAACGTAGCATTTGGAAACGGAAACCAAAATTATAAAAGGCAAAAACTCGGTCATAGATTGATTTCTTGACAGCTACATTTAATTTTCTGAAATTTCTTGTAGAAGTGTAGTATAATGAAAATCATTTATAATTCAAACGAAAAGGTATATAATAAAAGGACAATTATGTTGTAGTAGCTTTCTGAACCTATGCATTTTTCTACTCGCAATGTAGGAAAATCGATATTTCGCTCGACCTTCGGTCTCGCGAGATATCAATTTTTTCCACCGCTGCTCGTGGCAAAATACAAAGCTTCAACATAATATTCCGTATATATTTACGTTTTTATAATAAACAAGTTTCGGCTACAAACTGTCTAATATTTAAAGGTTATTAAATATCATAAGAGGCCGAATGACGTAAACGACACAGGACTGTGTTCAATCCCATACGCGTGACAAACTGCTTATCGCCTCGTAAAATTTAAGATCTCATTTCCACACCTCTGAAAGGATGTTTTGATTGCATTTAACAAGTATTTATTCAGATACGTGTACATTTCCGAATTTCTGAACTTATCGTTCTAAATCGCATAAAAAAAGTAGAAAATAAATATTTTTTCCGAGTAATCGAATATCAATTTTGTTAACCGATATTCGGACGTTCGATCGAGTACTCGGTTAACCGGTTACTTGTTGCCATCCCTAATTTTCATACTTTATTTTTGTCCGGGCCATTTCTCCTAAAGTATAAAAGCTATGGACTTGAAACTTCATAGGATGATAGATCTCATTAAAAAGAAGTGCAGTGTACAAGAACCGGTACTCTGCATTAAAAAAATTTCTTATTTTTTGAGTTATTGCCCTTTGTTAATTTTCATACTTTATTTTTGTCCGGGCCATTTCTCCTAAAGTATAAAAGTTATGGACATGAAACTTCATAGGATGATAGATCTCAGTAAGAAGAAGTGCAATGCACAAGAACCAGTACTCTGCATTTCATATTTTTTGAGTTATTGCCCTTTGTTAATTTTCATACTTTATTTTTGTCCAGGTCATTTCCCCTAAAGTATAAAAGCTATGGTCTTTGAACTTCATAGGATGATAGATCTCATTAAGAATAAGTGCAGTGTTCAAAAACCGGTACTTTGCACTTCTTAATTTTTGAGTTATTGCCCTTTGTTAATTTTCATATTTCATTTTTGTCCTGGCCATTTCTCCTAAACTATATTGTTCACAAGGCGACACATCCGGCTACTCGCGGAGTTCTAGTAACTATTAAGGGTATGGTTCAGAACTTTTAATTAAGTATATTTATTGTGTCCTTATTTTGTTGAATGTAAATGCGTTTTTACTTTATATACTATTTTATATATGACTAATAGTTAGGCTGAGTAGAGAGAGAGAGAGAGCTCGAAAGGTTTTGCTATGGATGAGTAGTATAAATATGTTTCTTCAAGTACATTTTGAAATGAGTGCAACTTATATTGACCCTTAAACCAGCTGAATTTGTGTAATGGATTTGACCAGCTTTTGAATTTGGAACAGTCCATTCCATTTTTAAGGGATTTCAGTATTAAAATACAAAAAGTGGGCTACCAACATTTTTTTTCTCAATTTTTGACATAATAACTAATTTCAGGTTGTGGAAATTGCCAGCTACACCGATCATTTGCTGACAGAATGTGAGGCAAAATCTAACTACGCCAAGTGTAACCGATGTACTGAAGCCATAACTAAACCTGAACACGAGCAGCATGTGGCCGAGAAAGCTTGTAACGGTACGAGCAATCTATTTTTCTCGTAATGTGATTGATTAAAGGCCTCAGAAATGCAATTATTGTATATAGTAGAAATAAAAAAAAAAATTCTTTTAAAAAACCCTAAGAGCTAGAGCTGAGATATTTAGCATCAAACATCTTCTAATGGGTATCTATGTTTTGTTATTTTACAGCTGCAAAATCAGGGATGAACCATTGTCCATTATGTCATCAAAACCACATTTCAGGGGAGGATGGCTGGAAGAACCATCTTATGGCTAAAGATGGCTGTAAGCAAAATCCTAGACGTCTGTTGGCACTAAATAAACCACAAGGTAATTTTACTTTCAGATTTCTTCTAATGCAGAAAAAGGATATATATAGCTTTAGCCGATGCAAACATAAAGTGACGGTATCCTCATGTTTTTGGTGGCAATGGGAGTAAAGTTAGAGATATACATGTATTACAAAACATTGACTTCTTTAATCATGTTTGACCAAAAATGGATAATAAGAAATGTTTAGAATAAAATATAAAAAGACTTCCAACTCTTTTTATCAGCTGAGTATAACAGATGCAGCCAACATGTCCAAAGCCTATTTGCAGAAATTTCCTGTATGTCATGTTGGTTAATGAATATTCATTAAAAGTAGAATATATGTTTTGAAGCAAATATGGTAAAATGTAAACTTATTTTGACTCTTACTTGTGCTGTGAACAGGATGCATGATGCCACTTTTATATATGTAGGGTGGGATGAACATATTTTTAACTCCTATTTTAAAAAATCTCATACCTGTACTTACCTTAAAAAAGTATGAAATTTGATTTTATGACTAAAATGGCTAATGGGTGCTAGATGGAAGTAATGATAAGTGCAACCTTCCAGGATTATGTATGTATGGCAAATGATCTTTATTTAAATTAGACATGAAGTATCATTATTTTATTTTTTTTCAGGGAAAGCTGGTGGAGCCACAACAAGGGGGAAGCCTGCACCGAAGGGATTAAAGAAGACACCAAGATAAAGGCACACACACATATGATGCTTGTGATGTCAAACAATAAATATTTCAATACACATGCCAGCCATTTATTAGAGTTTACATGTATTCTCTAGTAGAAAAATATTAGCAGTGATATAGTCATTTAAGTGCTAAAATAATGAGTTTTTGTCCTGCAAAATAGTTCAACAGTTATATATCTTAAAGTCATGGACCACACATAGATTTTTCAATGTCTGATTGGATATTTAATTTATGATAAGATTTAAAACAGACCAATGATATAGGTTGTTTTAGATTAAGGTTTTTACGTTAGTCTCATCTTAAAATCTAATACTGGTATATCAGTATGTTATTGGTTGATTCCTATTTGAAAAGTTTAATTAGACCAATAACAAAGCTTCGCTTATTAAGTTATTTGTTTATAGGATATATATCATTTACTATAACACAACTTGTGATTGGCCACAATCTCCAAGATGATAGAAACATTTTCAATTATACTGTCTGATACTTCCTTGGTCACTGTTACTGGAATTTTGATTGAAATTAACCAATCACAATACTGCTTTTTGTGAATGGTTCCCTAAAATCTTTGGAGAAGATATTCTTCCCAATTTATATTTTTAATAACTGTTACTACCCACTTTGTTATCAAACTTTGATGACTTTATGTTCTGAGCGACCATCACACTTATTATATTTCAGGAATTGTTGTCAATTTCATTTGGTTTTAATAAATGTAACAAAACCGAAGGTGTACATTTCATACACTAGATTAAGATTTTTGTGTTCAGTGTTCAAATAATGTTTTGTTTTCAGCAACATTGTGTTAATGTCCAAGTGTTCTTATGTCAGATAGGGCTTTATCTACTATATTATCATCAATTGCTTTAGACTTTGTATCGAACCCGAGCATGTATGTTGATAAAAAGAAATTGTTATTCCTTTAAAAAAAATAAAAACAATTAAAAAAATTGTTAATTTAACATCCCATTATCAAAATTGCAATGTTTGTTTAGGCAGCCACTATCCATTTTAGATTCTCAAATTATCAGGCTTACAATTTGGTCATGTTAACTAAAAGTACATTTTCTTGCTTTGAAAAATTGTACATTTTGATAAGTTTTAATTATTTGTTTATTTATTTTTTTTGAGAGTTCGATTTGTCTTATAATAAATACATGTAGATGAATTGTATGAAACTGCTTACCAGTGACATATTACATTGTTAATTATTCTCTATTTTTATACACCCGTTTGAAAAACGGGACGTATTATGGGAACGCCCCTGGCGGGCGGTCGGGCGGGCGGCGTCCAATTTTGTCCGGAGCATATCTCCTACATGTATGGAGGGATTTTAATGAAACTTCATAGGAATGTTCACCACTATGAGGAGCAGTGTCGCGCACATGAACCAGGTCTCTAGGTCAAAGGTCAAGGTCACACTTAGAGGTCATTGAAAAATGCTTGTCCGGAGCAAAACTTCCACATGTATAGAGGGATTTCAATATAACTTGGCACAAATGTTCACCATTGTGAGGGGGAGTGTCGCGTGCAAGATTCAGGTCCTTGCGGCCAAGGTCAAGGTCACACATAGAGGTCAAAGTTCAGATAAAAATATGAAGATGTGTATATGGACCATTTAGTCATCATTTATTGAGGGATTGTAACACAAATGGTCATTATCAAGACTATGGCTGTGATACATATTATTTAGGTCAATATATACAAGGTCAAGGTCACTAAAGATGATGAAATATCCAGATTTTGTAAATAGAATTTAATCAAAGGGCAACAACAAAGTTATTACTTTGTTCATAAATGACTTACACAATTACTCCCCTTGATCTACTTTCACTTTCAATTCTAAAAATAGAATTTAATCAAAGGGCATAAAATAATCCTCTTTCTTGGACTTGAGTATGTTCTAAAGAATGTAACATTTATTAACACATGTTTCATTCATTGGTCAAGATTCTTAACTGTGATAACTATGGTGTTCTGTAGACTTGGTATTTGTTCATAAAGATCATACAGTAATTACCTTATCAAATGTAAATACTTTCTAATAGAAATTTAATTACGAGGGTTGTCCCAAAAGTCCGTGACAAATTTTATAGCCGGTTCAATTTTAACGCCAATAGAAAAAAATGCACACATATAACCGTTAAGTTTATTATTTAACATTACAACAAATAATTTACAAAAAATTTACCCTAGTTACTTAGAAATTTTCAGTATTAACGACAGTTGCCGACGCACGTCAAATAATTTACATTTTGTTATGAATATGCTGAAATTAATTACGTATATTTCAAATATCTGATGATGTGTCTGCACAATGTCACGTTGACTTCCTCTGCTGCTATGTTTAAATCATCTCTGAAAATTTTAGTTAAATAACTTAAAAAAAGAAAAAGATACGAATAAATAAAAATATCTATAGGAAAGTTAAAGTGACGACGTTCGAAGAATTTGCGGCGCAGTGAACATGTCACTCAGGTTTCATGACTATTTAACGATTAACGATTTTCAACAAATATACCAAATATAACAGTTTAGCAACATATTCTGAGCATTTGTGTACGAAAGGCATGATCGGAACCAGAGTTTTGCGCTACCATAAGCGAAAATAAGGAAAACACGGATAGGAAGACCGATCTTCGTCGCCTATTTCCTACAACTAAAACAGGAGTAACGAGACCGGAAGTTCGCATATAGCAAAAATTAATGTATGCCATCCAAACATTCAACAGACATTAACAACCACATGATTTAAATCAGAAATTGACGATTTATGGGTACCATTATTGCGTTGAAAGCCATTGAGAGTACATGTTTTTGAGAAAGGCGCCTTATATTGATTTAACGCCGTCTTTGACGTTGGACGTGCGCCGCGATTCAGTTAGTTGCCATGGTGTTTATGGCTTATTTTTGTTGTTTGTTGATATTTATCTATGGAAATTTGTGAAAATGTTTAAATTAAATGGGTTTATAATATATTAAAATATCAAATTCGTACCTGTTTTATTTAGCTTTTAATCAATCTTGTCACAGAATATTGGGACAACCCTCGTATATTTTAATTTTCAAGTAAATATCAGTTCAGCTCATTCAAAGATTAAGAATTGTAATGAAATGTATTTCCCTAGAATAAAATCTTAAATCAGAATTTTTTAGTTATTAAATTACAATTACATGTACTTTTTATCTTCCCTACTGATTTGTTTTAAGGTTCATTTAACAACACAGTGCCAAGGATAAAAACTTGCTTGCTAGATAACACTTATCCATAATGCCCCTATCTCCATCTAAAGCTTTCGTAAACGGGCGTATTTTGTGACTATGGCACCCTTGTTTGTTTGGTTATTACAAAAACCGAAGAAAATTTGCACAAAAGTCTGTGATAATGAATGTTGTGAGTGAAAATCTTGAATTTTATTCTTTCGTATATCAATTTTTCATACATATCAATACATATGCACATATCTTAGTCTATTTGTGTAGTTTGTATGCTAATATATGTGTATTCGAAAGAATTGTATGTTATCAATAATCAAGCTGATTACTGTGTAAAAAAATTTCAATGGACTTACCAGTGAGATATCAACATCTATTTGTACAAATATATTATGTGTCAAATGTATGTTGCTATTTTGTATCACATTGGTTGCTGTAAAAGCACACATTTTTGTCAAAGGTTTAAATTTTGCTATTTTTTTTGCAAATAATTTCAGATTTTCACAATAAAAAAAAACTTTTGCAAAATATCTACAATATAAATTTAATCAAACTTATTGTAATAATTGTAGAATGTTTAATTTTGCCAATTTGTCCGAAATATTGATTTCACGAAATTTTGGTCTTACGAAAATCTATGTTTTTACAATAGGCTATATGATAAATATTGTGTTAATTAAAAGTTATGTGTTTAATGAAAAATAGAGGGAAATAGCTTTGATAGATTGAACATAACTTTATAGTAAGAAGACTATTTGATTAAAGCAGTACCATGTTATAATTTGAATGAAGCTTAATACACTTTATGTTACTTTGATAAAAAACAAAAAACATGTTTTAAAAAAGAAATGACAGACTTTTTGAAGAGTTGATATTAATAATTTTAGTATTTTTCACGGACAAACCTCATTTTCATAGAAAAATCAGGTCTAATGACATAAATGATCCCAATTGGACTCTTGTCCTTCGGTTTAAAATGCAGGCAACTAAAATATAAAATAAAATACAAGGTCACTATGACTTCCTTTTAACATAAAATGTTAACAGTTCTTCCTTGCCATTTCTTATTTTTTGTTAAATTTTGTGTATGTTATTTGTGATATATTATTTATTGGACTATTTATTTTATTACAATAGAGAACATATTATTATAATTATTATCATTATTTAAACTAGAGGACCACAATATTAGAATGATAATGAAGAATAATAACTTAATGTAACAGATGGGGCCCTATTTTTATTGAATTTACAGTGCATCTTAAAATGATTTTGATAAAGGAGAGATTTTTGGGAGTCCATGGGCTGAGTGGTTAAGTTGAAATAATTTGACTTCAAACCACTTGCCACTCATCACTGTAGACTCGAATCCTGACACAGACTATGGATTCTTCCATGTGAAGAAGCTGTTCAGTTAGCTTACAGAACATCAATATTTGGTGGTTCTACTTACAATAGGTACTTGAATGCACAAAAGGGAACCTGAGGTCTTCCTCTACCAATAAAGCTGTTAAATTGGTCACTTTAGTTTCTGAAAAGTACTTGTTATCTTAACTATGAACATGCTGAATTTCTGTAATGTAAGTGTTTGCTATGCCATTCTTTTTGAATCAGTTTAATATCATTCAAAGTTAAAGCGATTTTAGGAATTAGAATACAAAAATTGAGCAACAAGTATATAGAGCTTGGTCAGACTACAGGAAAGTGTTGACTGTTGACAAATGCTAGTTTCAGTTCCAGCAGATTGAATACTGTTTTATCAACATTTCTGGATGCATGGAATTTTTTTATTATTTTGAAATCTGATTCATGTTCAACAACTTTGAGGGTACTCAATGTTTTATGATATTATTCAACTAAAGGCACAATATGACTCAGAAATAAATTTTTACTTGTTTAGAAATGGCTAATATGAAATTTATAATGGATAGATAACTGTTTTAGAGCATGTTAGATGCTTTTTACTGAAGAAAATTAGCGCTAGATGTGAAATAATTTGTCATAAATGTAGCAAAATGTAAACAAAAAAGTAGTATTTTGACTTTCATACAAAAACTAAATCACTACAACTTTACTAATTACCAAAAAACCAACAGAAGATATAGAATATTCAGGTAATTGGCCAGTAAGTTACTTTTCAGAAATAATGATACATGTAGTATAATCATAAACAAAAGCTTCTGAGAAATGAAATTAAAAGCATTCCTGAGGCATAATGGGCCTTTAAATGTTAAAATTTGTTAAGAGAAATTTGTTTTTGTTTTGTAGTTATTGTTAATGATATAACAAATGAGAAATAAAAAAAAATGATCAAAATTGTATATGATTCCTATATTTTTCAAAAACAAGTGTATATGAATAATTTGAATATGTACTACTTTATCATAATAGCAAAAATGTTAAATATTTGTTATATTCTAGTGAAGTTATTAAATTATATAGGTTATACTATATTTTAAAGCAATTAGCTCACAGATGTTTACTTCTTGAAAATTATACCATAGTTCTAAAATATCTCACACATTATATTTATTAATGATGTTTTTTAAGAGATAAAATTTTAAAATATGAGGCCAATTTTTTTTTTGACTGGCTGTATAAATACACATTTGCACTATTGTAGCTAACTTAAAATTGAAGTCACCTAGAATGATAGTGACACCATTCTTTCTGGAAGCCTGTAATCATTTTACAACGTTTCCTAGAGGTAAAGTGACCTATCTAGTTGAAAATATGATGTGTATTAGACCATCTTTTTTAAATAAATAGTCAAAATCAAGAGGTATTCTTGTAAAATATTTTGATATATCTATATGAGCAAGCTGCTTTAATCAGGTATTATTATCCTTATAGAATATTGTTTTATCATACATCACACTGTAGAGAAACATTGCTTGTAAATATTTGATCATATAGACTGTCCCAATGGGGCATTATTTTAATAAATTTACAACATAAAAAACTGTTAATTTGTATATTTATCGCCCAAAATATTATATTTAGAGTATCAGTGTGAATGAAGAGCAATTAAAGGTTTTTTATTGCATTCAAAGTAAATATTAACAGAAAGACTCTTTGTAACAACAGCATAGATGGTAGAGTTGAAATGTATTTGTTTGAACTCTTTCTAAAAGTGTTCAAAAGAGATCATCGTCGCTCGTCGCAGATTCTGAACTGTACTGACGAAGTTAAATAATTTAATCTGGCACTTCTTGCATCATTATTGTAGAAGAAAATGGTAAAGCCACGAGTGAACTTTTGGTGTTCACGAGGTGAAATATATTTCGGTCATGCACTAAACTAAAAAAATGTTCTTTTTATTATCTGCAAAGAAACGATTAAACAGACGTTCTAACCTAATGCTAAATTAAAAGCACGCAAAATAATAATACGATGTGACGTCATTTACGACGTCACGTCATTAAGTTGGTTTCCAGTACTGTGCACGATGGTATTTCACTGAAACAACGTAAGGGGCTTAAATTCAAAACAGTGAAATTATCAAAGTGGTAATTTCAATGTTTCAAACAGTGAAAATATCAGTCTTATATTTCACTGATATATTAATATCAACCACCGAAAAGCATGAAATAACTTTTTATCCCCCCCCCCCCGAAGGGTGGAATATTAAAATCGAAATCGAACGTCTGTCCGTCCGGCAGTCCGTCCCGCTTTATAAACATAGACAGTGGTTGTCGTGTCCGCTCTGAAACTTCAGTATGCATGAAAGGATTTTATTTTTTCTTTCATATATGAAATAATCATCTATATAGATGTATGGTGTGTCGTGAACAAGACTCTGGTTTTTACCACTAAGGTCACTGTGGATGTTCAAACTGTCA